AATAAATCAGCGTACCAGCACAATCCAAACTCTGGATACTCTTCTTCTCTAAACAAGGAATTAGCCATTTCAATCTGAAAAGCAGCTTGACCTAGCAGACAGACAGGAAATATTTGTTCATCTATAAATTGAGTATTGCCTCATTCACAGTGGGTCCCCCTACCATTCATCTGAACTGAATACAAATGAAGGATTGTAAGATGAAACTAACAGGAAGAAAAACAGAGGGGGAAGAGAACCTTTTTGTGAGGTGCATATCAAAGGTTTGCTTGAGTATATTTGAAGAGACAGAAGGGATGCCCAGGCACCCTTCATTGAGGGAGTAAAAGGAGAGTGCTTTTGCTTCATGGAAAAAGGGATCTCAACCGGGTTTGGTTGACAATACTGGACTACTTTGGGTGTGGGTCTTTTTAAAGAATAACTTAAATTTAGTTTTTAAAAGCATATAATTTTTAGGGCTATCAAGTGATTTAAAAAATTGTGATTAATTGTGCTGTAAAATAATAGAATACTATTTATATAAATATTTTTGGATGTTTTCCACATTTTTCAAATATATTGATTTCAATTACAACATCTAATACAAAGTGTCTTGTCTTAGCAATTGGCTGAACAAGAAGTAGGACTGAGTGGACTTGTAGGCTCTAAAGTTTTACATTATTTTGTTTTTGAATGCAGTTATTTTTTTTGTACATCTACATTTGTAAGTTAAACTTTCATGATAGAGATTGCACTACAGTATTTGTAAGAGGTGAATTGAAAAATACTATCTTTTATTTTTACAATGCAAATATTTATAATAAAAAATACAAAGTGAGCATTGTACACTTTGTATTCTGTTGTAATAGAAATCAATATATTTGAAAATGTAGAAACATCCAAAAACATTTAATAAATTTCAGTTGGTATTCTATTGGTTAACAGTGCAATTAATTGCAGTTAATTTTTTAAATGCATGAGTTAACTGCAATTAATTGACAGCCCTAATTGTTTTTGTTCTTTGTTTCCAATACTTATTGCCACTTTACTATAGTCTTTTGAAAAACGTATTGTTTGTAGCTATATCTAAGTGCTGTGGTGTTAAGCAAAGTGATGGTCGTCAGTTGAATCTTAGAAGTTAGTGTGTACTGTTCCTTTGAGAATAGCAGTCCTGGTAATTCTGTAAGTGTTCAGTGGATCGGGGTTGGACACTACAGGGAACACTCCCAAGTATTCAGGGATTGGTGTGTGCCTCTCTACCTGAATGGAGAGCAAGATCTGCAGAGGCCTGGAAGATAGTGCTTGTGCTGCCAGAGGCTGTTGTCTTTAGGGAGATGATCCACAGCAGGCACAGACCAGACTATTTCATGCTAGTGGTGAGGTGCCTCATGATCCTGAGAACCCTGGGGAAGCATCACACTAAACGCAATCTGTACTAAAAACTAAGATCCAGGCAATTAATTAAGTGTGAAATCTGGTCACAACATGACTCAAGGCCACAACAGTGTTCTTGAATGATAAGACTTTAATGTACTACCTTGTACTATAGAACTAACTATCAAGTGTGCAATCAGCCTTTAATTGAATAGCAACTGCCTCAAAATACACTTTCAAATTTAAACTGGTCCAGTAAATAGCTGGCTTCAGAGCCAGTCAAATTAGAGACACATCCTCTTGACCTAAAGATTACTGTTTGAAAGATGCTTTCCCTGTGTGTTACAACCAGGTAAAAAGCTGTCAGACTCCTGACTTTACTGAGAACATATGAGACAGGATTTGTGATCTTTGTTGGGGCTTGCTATATATCTATATCTTTATTTCATGTGACTGAGCATAATCTGTGAATTGGATTTTGGAATATCTATACCAAATGGCTTTGGTTTCCATTTTCTGCCAAGTATTGGCAAACTCAAAATTATCAGTACCTCAAGTTGGGTTTAAATATTGGAGCTTGGATTCCTCTATCATATGCATCTTCTGCTGAAGAAGTATCAGACTAGAACTTCAGTGCTACCTTGGAAATATCTGTTCTTCCAGGATGGAATGTTGACAGGTACATAAAATATCAATAGTTCTTTCATTGTAGTAAAATGCAGGCAAGTAGATTTGGTATCTGGGCTGATCCTCTGCAGGGCTATCAACCGATTGTCCTGATCATTTTTAAGCTTAAATATTGATCCACTGTATGCTGTTGCATTTGGTTTTGTTCCATTGGTTGAAAACCAAGAATGGAAGTAAGATGAAGCCTAATAGTAACAGTCAAGGAATATTTTCAGTAGTTCAGTATTTTTCTAACTACATGTCTGTCTTTTTACAGAGACTCTGAAATCATGCAGCAAAAGCAGAAAGCAGCTAATGAGAAGAAGACTCTGCAGGCAGAAGCAAAATAAACTGTGTGGCTACATAAATGACCTAAAATGTTACAGTACACCAAGTTATAGGGCCTAAAATATCAGACTTGTTTGTAAAAGTGGCCTACCATTAAATGGTAAATGTTTATCTTATACTTGCAGACTTATTCAATTTGCACTTATTTAGAATTTTTGGTTAGTATAGGCTGAGTAAACCAAGACTTCATTAAGTTACCTGGAATACTTATTTCAAAAAAATTGCAAGCGCTCTTATAGGCATGCAAATAAGCGTAGTTTAAGTAATGGTCGCAATAGCTTAACTGCACCTTTCATTATTAACAATGTTGACTTCACTGAATGGCTTATGTGACTACACTATTAAAGCCACAGTTAGACCAGGTTACCCTCTTCGTGACCCTTAAAGTATAACAATCATTCACAGTGGAACACTACTTTAAAAGCCCAATACCTTTGTACAATGCATTCAAACTTGTAAAAGTCTGAACTGTAAATCTCATTTTAAATTATTTTTACAATAAAATGTTGCATGAAGTATTGTTTAATCTGAAATGGGGTACAGTGGATAACCTTTTACTGGGCTTGAATTAAGCTATCTTACAGTGCAGATTTATCGAGAAATTAACTTTTCAAAACAATAACTTTCAGAAGACTAAAAACTGGCATGACTTGTTTAATCTTATACTGTAATCTTTTCCACAGTAGATCTGCTTGTAAACTTTTAGTTTAGCCTCACCTAGTTAAAACATTGTCTGGGTGGGAAGGGCAGCAACCTCATAACCACAGATCTATGGCCTAACTTCTTGAATTTTCTGAGCACCCTCAACTGAAAGTCCAGGAGAACCACTTCTGCTCAGAAAAATCTGAAAACTAGTCCTCTTTTATTAAAATGAGATTTTTGAGATTTGTTTAGAAAAATCATGGGAGGGCAAATTTTTTTAAACCTGCATTTTTAACTGTCAATCCTCCATTTCTCATCTGCATTTTGCATGTAGATATGTACAATGAGGTAAATTGGCTTAAACGGATTCCTTTCATAGGCAAGGCAGAGTTTGTTGGGGGCAATGAACTGATTTTGAGGTAAACACTAGCAGGGCAAACTGGCTTTTCTTGGGAGCAGGTAAGGTAGGTTTCAAGGAGCTTAAACTAACTTTTACCTATACATATAAAAATGCAGTGGGGGAGGCAAAATTATTCATTGTCATGCCACTTTCACTGCTCCTTCAGCCTTGGATGCATGCCTCAAAGATGATGCAAACTCTAGTTTTCTTTTGGTTCCTATGTAGTACATTAACAAATGGAAAGTAGTCTGAACTACCAGTTAGCTTAATTTCAGGTCTTGCTCTCCACAATCTGTCAGATCTTTTATTAAGGATATCTATCAATTCAGACAAGCTTAGCTTCATTTAAAAGTGCTAGATCTGAATAAACTCCCTCTTCCCTGCATGAATATAAACAAATGGCATGAGGACGGTGCAGGTCCCAGTAATTTGTGTTGGAGTTGCATGCATCCAACTGCTTGATAGGTGCAGATTATGCTATTCTGCCACTGTTCTTACATTTCTCCTGGGAGGCAATAAAAGAAAGATCAATAATTGGCCAAGAACTTGTGTTATCAAAGTAGTATGATAGTATCAACAAAAAGCTATACACATGCTATCATCCTTATACAGAGAGGTAGTGTTCCCTATATTCATTCCAAACTGCAAGAATGGTGTAATGAAACTTGCTTAGTTCAGGACTGCTTGCAAGGGTGGCAGTTTTGACAGCAGTACTAATAGCACAAGCATGCTTAGTAAAATTAATATTAACCCATAGCCTAAACAAATAGGGTTAGTACTCCTTTTAGGTCTCTTCTACCATGCCAGATGCAAAATTGAGAACTGGAAATGTTTGCAGGAGTAAAACAGGCATTATCAAGCCACAGCACTCATTAAGTGGTTTATATAAGCAGTTCATCTCTACATAAATACAAAACCTGATATTTCCTTACATAACTTTCACTCAGAATTTTCTGAACTGTCTTGATCTTCTGAATTTTGGACTCTGATGCTTGCACTAAGATGTCTATCTTGCTCTATTGACATTGGGGGGGGAAATACCTAAGACTGTCCTACATTTCCTCTCCATCTCTCTTATCCTTGTTTAAAATCATACACTTTGAGCACTGCATTATGCTAATAATGCCTTTAGTCTGTTCTTCCAGAAGAAAATAAAATGTCCTGCACAAGAGCAGTTGGACACGGGGTGAATTTATCTCTGCTCCTGCCTCCTTTTGTGAAAGCATATTCCTTTAAATAGGAAATGAACGGATTACCCCTACCCATTTGGGGCAGAGGATTTGGCACAAAGTGGGGGATGAGGGAAGGGGTGATAAGATCCTTGGCGGCCCCCTTGTTAAACTCCATCCCCTTGGAGGCCCCCTGCTGTGGGACAAGGGGATGGAGTTGGGGGGAGCGGCTGTCGCTCTTCGTGCGGAGAAGGGAGCGGCTGGGAGGGGGCTGCAGGTAGCCCGCTTCCTCCCTAGCAAGGGGGTGGATCACTGGTAAAGGGACGTGCCGATGTAGGCAGCTGCCGCAACCAATCAAGCTCCACCCCTCTACGGGGCGGGCGTGTGAAGGGGTGCGCATGCGCGCTGGCTGAGTGGTGGAGGCCACCGGCCCGTCAAACTTTTGCTATGGCGGGCCATGGCGGGGCTGAGACGGTGCTGTTTAAACGCGGCGCCGGGCAGGTATTGGAGGGAGGCGAGCGGGTCTCGCCTTGGGCAGGGGTCGCGGCTCCCGGGGCGGTGCTTGGGGCAGGGAGCGGGCGTGTTATCCCCAAGTTGAGGCCGGGGCCGCCTCAGAGGAGTGGAACCGGCGGGGCCGCGTGGCTGGGCCAGGCCTGGCGGCGGGGGTTGCTGCCCGTGGGCCGTTAGCGGCCGTGCGGGGTGGGTGCGTTTTTACCCCGTGCCCTGTCCGCTCTCCCCCCAACCTAGACCCCGTGACCGCCGCCGCGGCCTGACCCGGCCGGGGGGCAGCGGCGTGCGCGTGCTGCATGTGGCGGTAACGCTTCCTGTCCCCGCTCCCCCCGCAGAGCGACGATTCGGACATCTGGGATGACACCGCCCTGATAAAGGCGTACGATAGAGCGGTGGCGTCATTTAAGGTAATGCGGCTCTCCCGCGCTGTGCTAGCAGCCGTTCCACCAGAACCCCCATGGTGCGGTTCCCCTGCTCCAAAAACTTCTTATCTTTGCGCTGTATGGCCCAGCTCCTGCGGGGAACCTCGCGGGGGCAGCTCCCCCCCCCCCCCAGGTTGGTTGCCAACTTTCTAATGGCTCAAACAAAACCAAACCAAACACCTTTGCCCCAGCCCCCTCGCTCCATGCCTGCTCTCTCTGTTACTTGGTCTTCTCCACCCTCATTCACCCGGCTGGGGGTGCGGGCTCTGCGGTGGGGCTGCCGATGTGGGGTTGAGGGGGCAGGGGCTGGGGTGTGGGCTCCAGGGGGGCGTGTGGACGGGGGAGGGGACTTGGGGCTGGGACAGGGGGTTGGGTGTGTGAGAGGGGTTGGGGTGCAGGGTCCTGGCGGTGCTTACTGTGGCTCCCAGGAAGTGGTTGCCAGGTCCTGTGGCCCCTAGGTGCATGGGCGGTTCCGTGTGCTGCCCTCGCACCCACAGGCGCAGCTCCCATTGGTTGCGGTTCCTGGCCAATGGGAGCTGCAGAGCCAGCACTGGGGGCAGGGGCAGCATGCAGAGCCTCCCTGGTCACCCATGCACCTTGGGGCCACAGGACCTGGTGGCCGCTTCTGGAACTGGCACGAAGCCAGAGCAGGCAGGGCGCCTACTTTAGTCCTGGCCTCTGCTGCCTGAACTTTTAACAGCCGGTTGGTGGTGCTGCCAGGGTCCCTTTTTGACTGGGCATTACACTTGAAAATCAGATGCCTGGCAACCCTACGTGTTGGGGGGGAGGTGCCTCCATGCAGGATTGGGGCCAAAGGGTCCTCTACACTTCCCACAAAGCTTTGAATTTCTAGACTGAGAGGGGCATAACTATTCCTGATGGAGGAGGATCAGAAGCCACCTCCGAATGCCAATTGGGAATTATGCAGATAGGTTTTTTTTTTTTCTTTTTTAAAAGTGTGTGGTAGTTAAGAGGATGCTCTTCCATCCCTTTGTTACAGGCCTGGGCTACTCTTAAAATGTAGATGAACATAGTTGCATTGCTTAGGTCAGGGGCGGGCAAACTTTTTGGCCTGAGGGCCACATCGGGTTTCCAAAATTGTATGGAGGGCCAGTTAGGGGAGGCTGTGCCTCCCCAAACAGCCGGGCGTGGCCTGCCCCCTATCCAACCCCTCCTGCTTCTTGCCCCCTGACGGCCCCCCCCGGGAGTCCTGCCCCATCCAACACCCCAGATCCCTGTCCCCTGACAGCCCCTGGAACCCCCACCCCTGACTGCCCCCCGCCACCCCATCGAACCCCTCTTCTCCTGGGGACCCCTGCCCCCATTCAACCCCCCTGTTCCCTGCCCTCTGACCACCCCAACCCCTATCCACACCCCCGACCACCGCCCCGAACTCCCCTGCCCTCTATCCAACCCAACACCGCCACCACCACCCACTCCCTTACTGCGCTGTCTGGAGCACCGGTGGCTGGCGGTGCTACAGCCAGGGTGCTTGACTGGAGCCAGCCAAGCCACAGTGCAGCACAGAGCACCGGGTCAGGCCCTGGCTCTGCAGCTGCGCTGCCCCAGGAGCTCACAGCCCCGCCATCCAGAGCATTGCGCCGGTGGCAGGACAAGCTGAGGCTGCAGGGGAGGGGCCGGGGGCTAGCCTCCTGGGGCAGGAGCTCAGGGGCCAGGCAGGAGGGTCCTGCGGGCTGGATGTGGCCTGCGGGCCGTAGTTTGCCCACCTCTGGCTTATGAAAAATTCACATTTCGGCACCATAGCTGCACCAGCCTAATTCCTGGCATAGACATGGCTGGGTTGATAGAAGAATGCTTCTGTTGACAGAGTAACAACCACTTGAGGAGGTTGATTATCCACAGTGATGGAAAAACCTTTTCCCAGTTGCTGTAGGAAGTGTCTACATGACAGCACTACAGCGGCACAGCTATACCGCCATAGCTGTGCTGCTGAAGCACCCATAGTATAGAGAAGTCCATCTCGTTCAGAATATTCTTTCAAAAGTAGAATTGTAGAAAACTGCTCATACGAGTGCAAATATCACATTGCGCTAAAATCTGTCTTTTATAGACACACATCTAAGTTTAGTGGACCTTTTTACAACAACATGAAATATAGACAAAATAAATACATGCACCCTTACCATTATGTCATTTATCAGAACTGGAGAAATTTGCTATCTGCATCCTCTATTTAGCTCTGGATGCTATTGTGATGGGGGATAGGAGTACACGTCATAGTTGAGATGTTGGGGTATAATTAATAGAATCTTTTTTTTTTCTTTTACAGAATGCTCTAAAGAATGGTGAGTGTTCGGAGCCTTCAGACAAACAAGAACAATGCTCAGGGACAAAGAGAAAAAATAATAAAAAGAACAGAAGTAGGAAGAAAAGCAATGCAGCACCATTGAAGCAGGTCATCTTAAAAACTGAATACCAAAACTAAATGTTGTTAATTTTTGTATTGCACGTATTCATAGTCAGTTTTAAAACATAAGGTATATTTGGTTATCAAGGGAAGATTTTAGTTATTGACCTCAATGAGATTGTAAATAAGATTTATAAATTCTTGCTCTGCTGGGGCCACTTTAGAAACAGATTAATTGGATACAAAGAATAATCTGTAGTGAGGAGAGGCACATCATGCAGTATTTAGTTCAAAAGTTTGTATGCATAGTAGATGGATATGTTAACATTTAGACGTTTGAAACACTTGAGGATGAGAAAAGTTACATTTGGAGAAAACATTTTTCAAGGGTCACAAATATAGCTGTTGATTTGACTTTCTTGCTTTTGTTGCAGTGGAGAGTTGGTGATGCCTGTAGTGCAGTTTGGTCTGAGGATGGTAATGTGTACCTGGCAACTATTGCCTCGATCAATCAGAAGAGAGGAACCTGTGTTGCTGTTTACACTGGGTACGGAAATAGGGAAGAGCACAATCTATCTGATCTGCTTCTTCCCAACACAGTTGAAAAAGAAAACGAGGAGCAGAATGCCGGGGAGGTGAGAGGGCACATATAAACAATTACTATTCTACTAAAAATAAGCAAAAACTTTTAACTTTTGTTCTATTACTGTTGCCCTTGTAGAACTGAAGGAGGAGAAGAGTATGTGAACCAAAAGTGATCCTTCATATAAATGGTCATGAATCTATTGAAAGTAAGGGTATATGGTGCCTGTTTGGTAGTGTGGCCTCATGGATTGGGCATTGGACTGAGACTCTGGAGACCTGACTTCAATTCCCAGCTCTGCCACTCCTTTGCTGGGTGACCTTGGGCTTCCTTTCCTGGACTTAATTTTTTCGTCTGTAAAATGGGGATAGTGATACTAACCTTTTTTGTAGAGTACAGTAACTCCTCGCTTAACGTTGTAGTTATGTTCCTGAAAAATGCTACTTTAAGCAAAATGATGTTAAGCGAATCCAATTTCCACATAAGAATTAATGTAAATGCGGGGGGGGGATGGGCGGGTTAGGTTCAAGGGAATTATATACACATACACATACACACTCACTCACTCTATAAGTTTTAAACAAACAATTTAATGCTGTACACAGCAGTGATCATTGCTGTGAAGCTTGGTTGAGGTGGTGAAGTCAGAGAGTCCCAGGGAATGCCTTACTGCTAAATGATGAACTAGCACTCTGCTGAGCCCTCAAGGGTGAATACATTGTTAATGTAGCCTCACACTCAACAATGCAGCACGAATGGAGGGAGGGGAGATAGCATGGCAGAGAGAGACGAAGACACACACCGTGTGTGTGAGAGACGCACGTTGCCCCTTTAAGTACACTGACCCCACTCTAAGTACATTGCCTTTTTAAGTCGATCAGCAAGTTGAGACAGCAGCTGCTGCCAGCAAGCTCCCTCCGTCCTGAGCCCTGTCGTGTCCCCCCATGCTCTATGGAGATGGGGGGCAGGAGCGGGAGGAAGGGAACACCCTGACATTAGCACCGCTCCCCCCGCCGCCCACCTTGCACAGCAAGCAGGAGGCTCCCGGGAGCAGCTCCAAGGCAGAGGGCAGGAGCAGCACATGGCAGTGGGGGGAGTGACAGCTGAACTGACTGGCAATTGATAGCCTGCTGGGAGGCTGCTGCACAGGGAACTTAGGGGAACAGGGAACTGATAGGGGGGCTGCAGGTCCAACCTGGTTCCAAGCCCCCACCAACTAGCTCCAATGGGCTGCTCTTTCTGCAAGGAGTGGACAAAGCAGGCAGCTGCCAAACAACGTTATAAGGGAGCATTGCACAACTTTAAATGAGCATGTTCTCTAATTGATCAGCAACGTAACAACGTTAACTGGGACAACTTTAAGTGAGGAGTTACTGTATTCTGAGAGCTTTGGATGAAAAGTGTTTTAGAAGTGCTGAGTAGTAGTAGTATTACTATTACCATACCATGACTGTATATGGCCCTATGATTCTTGCACAAAACTATAATTCTCACCTGCAGGATTGCTGCAAAACCCTGCTTTTCCTTAATGATTCACTTAATAATCATTTAATGAAGGGAGATGTTGTCTTTCCAGACACACATCAATATACTGTTTCAGTTTCTAATCAGCAGTGTTGGACATCAAGAAGTTTTGCTAGGGGGGGACTAGACATGTCAGGACTGAAACAATTGTCTCTTTTTTTTTTTCTCTGTACACTGCAGATTTTTGGCCCTTTCTACAAGAAAACATAAACAATCTACTATTTTTGCTGATGCTGGGTTCAGTGTTAAATGTGGAGGATTTCATATGAGATTAGAGAGTGATCTTTTTGTGTGTGTATGTGCTAAGAAATAGTCCCGGCATTAAAATGTCTTAAAGTCACTTTCTGAATTTTAGATGACCAAAATTCATCTTCCCAAGATGTATATGAAACTAGAAAAAGGTGGTAAGAGTGGGAGAACTGGACAATTGAGTTGTTAAGGCTGACAACTGGTGGCAGTGCTGGGGATGAGGGAGCAATGCAAAAAGCAAGTAACAGGACCAGATGGTATTCACCCAAGAGTTCTGAAGGAACTCAGATGTGAAATTACAGAACTACTAACTGTAGTCTGTAACCTGTCATTTAAATCCGTTTCTGTACCAAATGACTGGAGGATAGCTAATGTGATGCCAATTTTAAAAAAGGGCTCCAGAGGTGATGCCGGCAATTACAGGCCGGTAAGTCTGACTTCAGTACCAGGCAAACTGGTTGAAACTATAGTAAAGAATAAAATGGTCAGACATGTAGATGAGCATAATTTGTTCGGGAAGAGTCAACATGGCTTCTGTAAAGGGAAATCCTACCTCACCAACCTACTAGGATTCTTTGAGGGGGTCAACAAGCATGTGGACAAAGGGGGATCCAGTGGGTATAGTGTACTTAGATTTTCAGAAAGCCTTTGACAAGGTCCCTCACCAAAGGCTCTTAAGCAAAGAAAGCAGTCATAGGATAAGAGGGAAGGATTCGTAATTGGTTAAAAGATCAGTTTTCAGAATGGAGAGAGGTAAATAGTGCCCCCCAGGGGTGTGTACTGGGCCCAGTCCTTTTCAATATATTCATATATGATCTGGAAAAAGGGGTAAACAGTGAGGTGGCAAAATTTGCAGATGAAAACTACTCAAGATAGTTAAGTCCCAGGCAGACTGTGAAGAGCTACAAAAGGATCTCTCAAAACTGGGTGACTGGGCAACAAAATGGCAGATGAAATTCAATGTTGATAAATGCAAAGTAATGCACATTGGAAAACATAATCCCAGCTATCCATATAAAATGATGGGGTCTAAATTAGCTGTTACCACTCAAGAAAGAGATCTTGGAGTTATTGTGAATAGTTCTGTGAAAATATCCACTCATTGTGCAGCGCCAATCAAAAAAGCGAACAGAATGATGGAAATCATTAAGAAAGGGATAGACAATAAGACAGAAAATATCATATTGCCGCTATATAAATCCATAGTACACCCACATCTTGAATACTATGTGCAGATGTGATCGCCCCATCTCAAAAAAGATATATTGGAAAAGGTTCAGAAAAGGCAACAAAAATTATTAGGAGTATGGAACAGCTGCCAAGGAGAGATTAATAAGACTGGGACTTTTCAGCTAGAAAAAGAGATGACTAAGGGGTGATATGATAGAGGTCTATAAAATCACGACTGGTGTGGAGAAAGTACAGAAGGAAGTGTTATTTACTCCTCCTCATAACACACGAACTAGGGGTCACCAAATGAAATTAATAGGCATTAGGTTTAAAGCAAACAAAAGAAAGTATTTTTTCACACAACGCACAGTCAACCTGTGGAACTCCTTGCCAGAGGATGTTGTGAAGGCCAAGACTAACAAAATAACTAGATAAATTCAATAACTAGATAAATTCATGGAGGATAGGTTCATCAATGGCTGTTAGCCAAGATGAATAGGGATGGTTTCCCTAGCCTCTGTTTGCCAGAAGCTAGGAATGGACGATGGGATGGATCTCTTGATGATTACCTGTTCTGTTCATTCCCTCTGGGACACTTGGCATTGGCCACTGTTGGAAGACAGGATACAGGGCTAGATGGACCTTTGGTCTAGGGGTGACCAGATGTCCAGATTTTATAGGGACAGTCCCGATATTTAGGACTTTATCTTGTATAGGTGCCTATTTACCCCCACCCCAGTCCCGATTTTTCACACTTGCTGTCTGGTCACTCTACTTTGGTCTGACTCAGTATGGCTGTTCTTAAGGAATGAGCAAATAATTAGGGGAGGAGCAGAACTGTAAAGGGCCTTGGATGTGAAGACAAGAAGACTGAACTTGATGTGGTAGAAAGGGAGGAGACAGTGGAGAGATTCAAAAAGAGAAGGGATTACATGGTCAAAATGAAAGAACAGGAAGATGATCTTAGCAGGTGCATTTTTGAATCAGCAGGGGCAGAGTTAAGAAATCAGAGTATAGGAAGGTGCAGAAATCAAGATGGAAGATGAGGATGTGGACAAGACTTTCCTAGTGAAAAGTTTCATACTGAATTTGGTTTAACATTTGCTCTAGACACATGGGAGGTGTAACCTGGGAACAAGTCTACCAGAGTTTTAATTAAAAATACAATTTTCCTTCTAGAATGAAAATGAAACTCAGTATTCAACAGATGAAAGTGAAAAGTCCTCCCAGTCCCCTGGAAACAAATACAACTCTACAAAATTAAAATCCTCTCACTGGAACTCCCATTTTCCACCTCCTCCACCACCAGGCCTGGGAAGGGTAAGCATAGCCCTAGCTGTGATAGTGGCCTGAAGCAGAGCAGGATCTTCAGACATGATTTATTTCACAGCTTTGAGAAAATAATGTATTTACCACTCTTCTAGACGTTAAATTCCAACGTTTGCATGGTGTTAAGCTCTTACAACAACTCTTGAACCTTAATGTATATCCCTGTGGTAAACCGTAGGAGTGAAATCCAGACACCCTGGTAGTCAGTTGGAGTTTTCCCATTGACTTGTTTGGGGTCAAATTGTCACCCTATGTATTTACAATCTAGAATAGATTCTATATGAAATGCAATTGAAATAAAAACAATTGGCTTTATTTTAGGAACATTGCAATGTAAGAGGAAGATGACCAGAAAATTTCATATATGAAGAACTAGCATAAATTAAGATAAGAGCCTATCATTTCATCTTTAAATACAAGCATAGACACAGTGTGATTGTAATAAAAATGTGTGGTATGGTAAATTTAGTATTCAAAACCAGAGTGAACTTAGCTTGTATCCTAGACCAGATATGATCAGTTATATCTTGGATAGAGGAATATTAGATGTAATGAACAGTTTTTTAATGTGAGCACCCAACTTCAGATTCCCTTTAAAAGGCGTTTTAAAAATTACTACTATTAAAACATCACTTCAAGCCTGTCTTTTTGTGATATCTATAAAGAAAGTCACTGTCTCTTTTTGCTAGGCTTGCTGATGCTCACATCAGAGAATACTGGCAAGAATCATTTATAGCTGGCCCATTTTCCTATACTGTTGATTCATTAAGTCATTGGGACTTGCTACCTTTGCTTGAGCAATTTTGTGATCTGTTGCATAATATTTTAAGGCAGAAGGTTTCTTTCCCTTTTTTAATTCCAAATTTTGTTTTATATTCAATTATTTCACTGTAGCCTGGACCAAAATTTAGTGGACCACCACCCTTCTTATCAAGCTGCCTCCCACCATTCCCAACAGGACCACCGGTAAGTGGTATGTGGAAAATAGTGATTAAAGGCAAATATTTGTGATCTCCACTTTTCTAACTGACTTTCTTGGGCACTTGTATGCACATACCTGCTTTTAAATTGAAATGAATACCTATTCAGTACTGCGTATGTGCCCAGTAGCAGTGTTCCAGTTAAGCCAATCTTAATGTTCCAATTATAAATTTCCTCCCAGCTTCTGGGGTTTGTATTCAGGATCACAGGGAGTAAATTTCTATTATGGAGTTCACAAGGATAGAAGGATTAAAATCTGTTATAAGATCTTATACAGAATTTTTGTACTGGTGTAACTATTTCAGTTAGATGTCAACTTTTTTTACTGAAATAGTTATACTGATATCGTAGAATAAGTAACTTTAATTCTTTAATTTTATACTTATCTTAAGTTTGGTAAAGGAAATGTTTATGTTGCAAAGAAAGGCACTGACTAGCAAGTAGAAGGAAGGCCTTGAAAATAATAAGTGGTAAGGCCAAAAGGAATCAAGTATTGAAGATGTCTGGTTCAATGAATAGCTAATAATATTAGGGGAGCTTTCTAAAAAGAAGGTCTCTGACTGAGAGGGGTGACTACAGATGGTTTTAAATTAAGAAAAAAAAGAGACTCTGTCTTAAAATAAGCCAACATAGCCCTTCCCCAACCCACACACCAGTGTTAAAGCCCATGTGAACCCAGGTGCAATGGGAAAACTACTGGACAACAAGGAGGAGAGGTGGAAAACTCTTGGGAAGAAAGGAGTTTGTAAATCTTACTGGATTAAGACAAAATAAGGGTGAATTGTCTCAAATTGGTCTTTAACTGAAGTTGGTAATTGGCAATGACATCACTTGTTTGTTAAAGTGTATAAAAAAGTAAACTCTTAGCAATGAACTCTTTAATATCTGCCTATTTTGGAGCTGACCAATATGGGTCTGAGTACCCTGGGTTTAGCCCATTTGTAAGTATCTTGCTCAAATGCTTATGTTTTGTTACTGTTTGGATGTAATAAATTGCTTATTAGTTAGGCTTTTTAGGCATGTTTAGAGCAACTACATATAGTGGCATTTGGCCTGTGGATTTAATAAAGGAGTTTATGGTTAAATTGGTGTTTGTTGAATTCCCATATTAATTCAACATTTTATTAATAATTCCAACAGATATTAAGTTCCCTTATACTGACACATCTTTTTTCCCTTCCCTTATGGGAATAATGATACTAATACAACTGCATCTGCATTAGTGTGTTTATAGTGCTTTAACTGTATCGGTATAGTCAAAGCTTTTGTATGTAGAAAAGCCCTGAGTGTGTTATGAATTTTGGAAAATAAGTTTTTTCCCTTTCTCTCGGTGGATACGCTGATCATAGGAGCTAAATACTGAGGAGTGGTACATGTGCCTTTGTAAATAAGGTGTTTAAGCAAATACAAACTATCTTATTTCGAAGCGTGTGCAAGAATGCATTTCTATTCGTTCATTTATTTGTCAATAATTTCAGAGTTGGTTGTTGTCATTCACTTCCCCTGCCTGGACGATAAACACCAATTAAATAAAGCCAGTTCACAGTGTTTTGTTGCAATCTCCTAGTTGATTCCTCCACCACCACCCATGGGTCCAGATTCTCCTGAAGATGAGGAAGCTTTGGGAAGTATGTTAATAGCCTGGTATATGAGTGGTTATCACACCGGCTACTATCTGGTAAGTGATTCCTGTTGAAATGTTGCATGTGTAGTCTAGCTTTGGGTTCTACTGTTGTTTAAGAAAAGTAGGTGTTTCTTTTTCTCTATGGAGCTTTTACTCTAATTTATGAGAACCTAGCTTGCAAGGCATTCTGTTTAAGTGTTCCCGTCTCTCTGTGAGCAAAAGCAGATCAGTCCACTTAACTAATGAGAACTTACTATGTTTTACATTTGCACATTTAAATATATTATATAAAAATAATTTGAGATCGACAGTTGCAGCTTTCCAGTCCAGTGGAGTCTCCTGGAATGCACAGTTTGTCATAATGGAAGAATAGATTGTGTGGTTGGAGTAAATCTGGACTTGTTCACTATTTAGTTCTGTGAAGACTTTTCTTTTCTAACTACTACTGGATAATTTATTCTCTAACCCTCCTCTTCCCCCTCCCCATCAACATACTTCATTACTGACCGGTGGGAGGGGTGGGTTTGTGGTACATGGATAGCTCATGCTGGAACTCCACACTGATGAAAAATCCATGGTTGTGGAGGGCTGCTTTTTGCATAATTGAAAAAAAAAAAAAAAAATGTAGAAAGGATTTGACTTTTCAAGCTTTGATAATTAATTCTTGTTAATATTCAAATATGGACTGAAGACTAAACAAACAGAATTTGGGAATTGGCACTTTAGGTTTCCATTATTTATTTTTGGTTTAACAGCAAAAATTTCTCAAGCTGTTCGGCAGGGACACAGATCAAGACAACAGCAAATAGTTAAGTTTTAGTTCCTGATCTCAATATATGTTGGTTGTTTGTCTTCAGTCTGTAATCTATAAAGAACCAAATCTGCTTTCCATGAGAGAGACTAGAAGGATTTGGCCCAAAATATTTTACCATGATGAGCAAAGCTTCATTTTTATTTTGGCTTCACACTTGAATAACAAACTCTTGCTATCCTGTGTCCCACAGGGTTTAAAACAGAGCCGAATGGAAGCTGCCTTGGAGAGATGTCCTCACCCTAAATAATAGAATATCACTTACTATCTTGAGCAATTGTAAGTATTGTATTTGTGCTTAAAGTTTAATATTGCAATCAGTGGGCAGCCTGTGACCAAACTGAGTGTCTCAGTTTGGAATTGCAGCTTGCATCCTAGCTCTGGAGAGTGTCCCTTTAAAGAAAAGGGCAACTTTGGGTTCCAAGACCTCTAGTCATCTTGGCCATCAGTGAAGAAAATCTCTGCCACTGTCAAAATGTAGCAAGTGACTTGCCACCAGACATAGTGGGTGAGAGCTGGAATAGGCTCTTACAGTACGTTCCAAGGTGGGATTTGTGATTGGGAAATCAATGTGGCTGCTTTTACTAAAAATTAATTTAAGTCCATGTTGTTGACGACTTCCACTATGATTTAGAAGGGCTGCTAACTTAATCAGTCCTGGAAACAGAAGACCTGTTGAGTTTGTGATCAGATCTGACTTTTGTGACACTACACACATTTTTAGAAACAATTGCTTGCTTATACATGTAGAGTAGGAGAGATTGTGCTTGAGTTTGGTTTTCAAGACAGGACTAACATCTAGCTCAGTTCTTGAGTTTTTCTGTCCTGTTGGTGTGTGTTTGTTTTTGTTTTTTGTTTTGTTTTCTTTATTCCCTCCCCTGAGTATCTGCACTTTGGTTTGAAATAACTTTTGCTTAGGATCTCCCTTAAGTATTTATTGCAGTGCAAAACATGTATTTTGCCATCTGTTCCTTTTTACTTGTTTCTCTGACAGACTTGTCTTTTAAAGGGCAAGTAGGATTTATAGTGACTTGCAGGTGATACTTGTTTAAAAAAATTAGTGCGTGCATGCACCTATACAATATAATAGTTGTTTCTCTTTTAAGCCAGGTACAAATATCCCTGGGAGAGATGTCACTTGTACATTGGCTGATATGAAGATCTGATTTTTTTTAAAATCACGAAGACTAAGTGGGCTTAACTTAACCCTTGCATTTTAATAGTGAACTGAATGAATTAGTGCAACACCAGACTTAAGAATGTATGAATGATTATTTTGCTACTTTAAAGGCAACCAGCCTTTAAAGCACTGCAGCAATAAAATGACACCTGCCCAATTAAAAGCTAATATTATGGATTTTAAAAATACTGTACAGATCCCTTTCGAAACAAGTGATTGTTATATACATGCTGATCTCTCTGCATTGTTGTATCATCTTACATTTTTAAATTTGTAATTTGAACTATAATCCAAGTAATTTTGATCAGAAGTTAGAAGTACAAAATATTTAACCTAGATACAAATAGGCAGTGATGTATGTAATTGTGACTGTTGGTGGGAGTTAGACATATAGAAAATGTTAAACATGTTAAATATCCTATGAGTAGGATCAGAACCTTGAACATAAAGCAGATGAGCTGGGGAAGGCTCATTTATGAGTTGTTATACTATTTTGCATGTTTGTAAATAAAATTTACTCAAACTTTGAATTTGCTTTTTTAAACTTTTTTAACAAATTTTGCTACTTCAATGTTTTGGGTGGCATATGTATAAAGGAAAGACGTACCATCTAGATTAGGGGTAGGCAACCTATGGCACGCATGCCGAAGGCGGCACATGAGCTGATTTTCAGTGGCACCGGTCTGGGGGGCTTTGCATTTTAATTTAATTTTAAATGAAGCTTCTTAAACATTTGAAAAATCTTATTTACTTTACATACAACAATAGTTTAGTTATATATTATAGACTTATAGAAAGAGACCTTGTTAAAATGTATTACTGGCACGCAAAACCTTAAATCAGAGAATAAATGAAGACTCGGCCCACCACTTCTGAAAGGTTGCTGACCCCTGATCTAGATCATAGCAGCCCCTGTGCCCTTCTCTGTCTGGCCATTGCCTTCTCACCTGGCCCTACTGAGAGGAGTGCCCTCTCCCCCTCCCTCTGCTGGCTTGGTGCCCTCTCTTCTGGTGCCACAGCCACCCCGATGGGTGAAAGGTATAACTGCAGCAGAATCTATGTTCTGCAAAGGAAACAAAATTTTACTGGGGGAATATGTATTCTTCCTGTGCACAGGGGTGCAGAATTCTCACGAGTAGCATGTACTCCCCTTCATTTGCAACTTGTTAAAGGCCTACCAAAATGCAGGTGTAGCTACTTGTAACACACTCCTTTCTTACATGTTTGGAGTAGTGAAATGTTTAAAATGTCACTTAACTGTCAGTAACCAACTCTGCTCCCACTTCTTGGGCAAATGTATTGCCTTCCTTTGATTTGCCAAGGTTATAATTCACTGGAACTTACATCATTCTGTTGCTGATATAAGAAAGAAGATAATTCAGATCCTCTTTCAAAGTATTGTAACATTGCAATGCTAAAAAATGAAAAGCACTAAAACAATTGCTAAGAGTGCTTTTTGGGTAATCATATACAGTAAGACTTACAATGAATCACAGGCTGAAAAGGTGCCTTCTCTTTTTAACCCTCATTTATTTCCTTTAGTTTAGATGTAACATCTCACACTGACAAAAAGGCTGCAGCTCACATTTCTGAGAATGAGGGAGGTCACAATTAAAATGTGAAAAAAATAGGCAGTACATCAGTCACTTACATTTTCCCCCACTTCTATTAGAGTCTTATAAACAAGGTTTTAAATGTTAAGCAAAACTTTTAATCTTTTAATAATACATCTATTGAAACATCAAAATGACTTGTCATTGGACCAATTCAAAACTACTCATTTTTCATGGTTAGATTTCAACCTGGGAGGACATGTTAAGTGAGATCCTTGAACAGTCTGGTACATCTTACTATTTTCTAATGAATTGGTCAATGGAGTGGAGAATATGCTTATAAAATTTGTTGGCTGATGCTAAACTGGGAGTGGTTGCAAGCACATTTAGTCTAAACTAAATAGACCTGATAACTCTCTTCAAATACATAAAAGGTTGTCTTGTATATAAGATCAATTATTCCCTCATATCCACCAAGGGTAGGAGAAGTAGTAATCAGCTTAGTTTGCAGCAAAGGAGATTTAGGTTGGATATTAAGAAAAACTTTCTAACTATGAGAATAGTTAAGCTCTGGCACAGGTTTCTTAGGAAGGTTGTGGAATACCCATTCTTGGAGGTTTTTAAGAACAGGTTAGACAAAAGTGTCAGGGATGGCATAGGTATACTTAACCCTGCCTCAACATGGGAGGATGGACTAGATGACTATTTGAGGTCCCTTCCAGCCCTGCATTTCTCTGTTTGATTTAGAAAGTTTATCCTGCTAGTCTGTCAAAGTACTTGGATAAGTTCTTATAATAAACATTTTTCTACCCTGGGGATAGATTTTTTTTCTACAGTAACTTAAAAATATTCTAAGTATAAAAATATTTAAGACGTTTAGGTTTTTTTTTTACAAGTTATGAAACAAACATGAATCACCATTTTAGCATACAAATTCATTTTTATCACTTTTCCACATACTTACAGATTTACACATTTATTTAGAACGACTCTTGAATAAGTCAAAGGTTTTCAAAACAAGTGAGGGAAATAAATCAGATGATGCAGATATTTTTATAAACATTAACCATGAGAATTTAAATATTCCTATTCTATACATTAACTAAAAGTTGTGTTTGTTCCCCTAGCAAATCTTCATTGTTACTGCATTCATCTAGGTATTTCTTCTAATTTGACTCTTTGTGCAAGAATGAAACCGGTAGGACAATCTCTATGAACACCTGGTATCATACGCACGGAGGAGTAGGATGCCTGTGAATGCAGCCAGGACAGCAGTGCAGAGAATCATGAACAAATAAGTCACATTCCACACAAAATACATTCTGGCAGACTTTACAAATGTAAACCTGAGTGAAAAGGTTAAAAAAATGAAGTTAAATTTTCAAATACAAATATCACTGTTGTAGTATTACAGTAATGCAATAGATTACTGTAAACTAACTATTTTGCATATTTACATCATAAGATTCCTACCAAATTAAAGTTTCCAATCTGAAAATTTTTCAGGCTAAATATAACTTTTAGATTCAATCAGAATAAACTATAAATTGTGTTTATTATTAAACTAATTGCCCAAATTCTCACCCTTAAAAACCCCATAATTGTAATAACTTGGGAATCCTAGGGGTACTGCAGCTAATATGTTTTAAAAAAATAAGTAAAGGTTACATTAAAGAGTTCTACAAATATAAGCATCTTGTCTGACAAAGCTCATTTTTCTCTAATCTAACTCTACTCGTTAGACTCCCATCATCCTTATGCCCAGAGGTGGGACTCATTCTTAGCCCTGTCAACTTTTTGAGCGAGGGCAGCAGCACACCTGACAGTCTCCGGACACTCCTTACCTCAAGTGTGCTGCTTTTGCAGTCTAAAAAGTGAGAACCCAGGACTGAGAATTCAATCTAGCCAACATGATGGTCTCCATACGGGATTTTTTGTTTTGTCATCAAGATGACCTTCACAAAGATTAATTACATTAAGAAGCAGTGTGCAAATTACATTACATTTTAATAATAACTTACATGTTGATCTTTAATCTCTCCTTGGCAGCCTTGACAATAGCTATGAAACAGAATTCAATATTTTTATTGAAAGCAGAAAAAAAATTGTTCAACACCATTTTACATAGTCATTTCTTACACAATTATAATTTGATATCCATTTCTATAATTTAAACGACAAATCACAGCCATTTAACTGAACATGCACTAGTTCAACCAGTACTAAAGAAGCCATTGCCAACTTATCTTATTTTCAAAACAAAAGATGAAATCTATAAGGGCCCAAGTCGATTCTTTATAGCAGGCATGATTTACATACCGTTCTCCTTTATATTCTTCCAGTGTAACTTCTTGAAAGGCATCCAAAGGAAACAGGTGATGGTAAGACCGAGCTAGATGTGGTGCAGAGACTAATGTAAGACCTTGAATGTCAAAATAAAAAGATGGAAAAAAAATCATTTGTCAAGATAAACCAAAATTTTTGATTTCATGAATACAGGAGAAAGCAACAAAAGTAAGCATGTGTTTACGAACCTTTTGGCCCCTCGACCTTCCTTTTTAACAGCAAAAGGTATTTTATGTGAGTGAATCAATTTTAATAATCTGAATTTCTGCCTTAGTCCACATAAAATTATAAAACTCTTAAGAATTAGAAGGTATACAACTCCATTCTGTTCCATCTAGGTTAGTGATTGCAGAGGTTTTACAAAAGTATACTAATGACTTCCTTTGAGGGTTGGTGAATTATTTTAATTCTATAATGAAAATATAACTATGCCCAAGCCCTTCAATGAAGGCAAATTACAACTTTCCTCCAGCACAAGTGATATTTCCACTATACTATATAACTAAATTGGTTGCTAAAGGAATCCCTTTTTGGATATATATGTATTCCAATCAAGTGAATAGAAAAGATACTGGAATACAAAAGAAATGGAGTCTGATCAAATTCTGATTCACCCCAAATTCCCACTGACCTCAATGAAAGTTTCAAGCACACAAGGAATTCAGCATCCAGTCTAAGACGCAACAGTCTGTGTTATGGTATTGCTTTCTACACACTGTAGCCCTCAGAGCCTCAAACCTATTTGATACCCAAGACTAGAATTAAGGACAAGTTCTGCAACAGGCATAATTGAGTCTTTCCACATCCCAATAGCTTAGGGGTTTGTTTGTTGTTGCTTACCATTATACGTAAAGAATCATAGCAATGTCGGGCTGGAAGGACCTTGAGAGGTCATCTAGTCCAACACCCTACATTGAAGCATGACCAAATATACCTAAAACCATACCTAACATTTATTTTGTCTAACCTGTTCTTAAAAACCTTCAACAGGGATTTCACAGACTTCCTTGGAAGCCTATTCCAGCACACAGAGCCCCAGAAACTAACTATAAGGATAGCTAGTTCTTCCTAATACCTAACTTAAATCTCCCTTGCTGCAGTTTAAGCCCATTACTTCTTGTCCTACTGTCAGTGGACATGGAGAACAATTGATCATCATCCTCTTTATAACAACCCTTAACGTATCTGAAGACTATCAGGTTCCCTCCCCCCGGTCTTCTTTTCTCAGGATTAGACATGCCCAGTTTTTTTAACTTTTCCTCAGAGTTCCACATTTTGAGTTTACCAATTTTCACTGATAAGTTACCAGGTTTATTAAAGGAGTCCAGTTTTTACTGATTTACACCCCTTTATCAATCCACTCAGTATTTTTTCAGGTACTGATTTTTGTTAAACTAAAACTTTATGCGATTGTTGTGTCCTAGAGCGCTGAAACTGAAGCAGTTCCACAGTGTAAAAAACAGTACACACAGAGTAGAGGTCGGTGAGGGCTCCGGGCTCTGAGGTGGAGCTGCGAATGAGGAGTTGGGGGTGCAGGAGGGTGCTCTGGGCTGGGACCGAGGGGTTTGGAGGGCAGGAGGGGGATCAGGGCTGGGGCAGAGGGTTGCAGTGCAGAAGAGGGTCAGGGTGCAGGCTCTGGGTAACGCTTACCTCAGGCAGCTCCCAGAAGCAGTGGCATGTCCCCCCTCCGGCTCCTACATGGGGGCATGGCCAGGCAGCTCCACGCTGCCCTGTCCACAGGTGCCACTCCTGCAACTCCAATTGGCTGCAGTTCCTGGCCAATGGGAGCTGTGGGGGCAGCATGCGGAGCCCCTTGGCTGCCCCTACGCGTAGGAGCCAGAGGGAGGACATGCCACTGCTTCCGGGAGCCACGTGGAGTGGGGAAAGCCCCTGCTCCCCAGCTGGAGCACCGGAGCAGGGCAAGCCCCAAACCCTGCTCTCCAGCGGGAGCTCGAGGGCCAGATTAAAATGTCTGGTGGGCCGGATGCGGCCCCCAGGCCGTAGTTTGTCCACCCCTGTTCTACACAGTCTCTCTCCCTCTTGGTTACCTAGCAGACTCTGAGTCTGCCCTTGGCTCTCCCTTCCCAGAGGGAGAGTATGCCTCTCCCTGAACTACCAGCACACAGAGCCCCAGAAACTTAGGTAAGCTCCTTGGGGTTATAGCTAGGTAAGGTAAACAGGTAAACATGGGATGAAAACGCAAACCTATGTTGAATACCAATAAGCAAATCAGTGCTTGGAAATTTTCAAGAATAGTAAGGATGGGAGTGGGGAGGATGCATTGTGCTGCAAGTACTGCAGCATTGAGGTCATAGGCACTGACTCTGTGGGTGCTCCAGGGCTGGAGCACCCATGGGGAAAAATTAGTGGGTGCTCTGCACCCACCAGCAGCCAAACTCCCCACCCCACCTCCTTCTCCCCCCTCCGTCCCAGCGCTTGCCAACACCAAACAGCTGTAGCAAGCTCCAGGAGGGAGGTGGGAGGAGTGTGAACATGGTACGCTCATGGAAGATGCGGGGCAGGGATTTGGTGAAGGAGTTGAATAGGGGCAGGGAGGGGGTGGAGTTGGGGCAGGGACTTTGGGGAAGGGGTTGGAATGGGGTTGGGAGGGGCAGGGCAGGGCAGGGGTGGAGTCAGGGCAGGGCTGGGTGCAGAGGGGGGTCGAGCACCCAGTGGCGCCATTAGAAGTCGGTGCCTATAATTGAGGTCATGCTCCTGCTGACAGAATAAAGGGACATGTTGAAAGGAAGCGACAAGAAATAAAGAAGAAAGTGAGCTTTGGGATAAACAGTCAATAACAGGCGCTTTTAACAGGGCTTTAATGAAAAAGAAGGCACAGCATGATTGTGTCAATGAATTTGTGCATGCTCTTCATTTTGCCGGACAACTGCTGTTAATAGCAGAGGGGCCTATTGATGATTTTGTGCAACAATACTGTCCAGCTGCAAAACCCTTCCTAATGCACACAACCTCACTCGTAAGCATCTGAAAGAAAATGACAATGCTTTAGTATCTACACTGATGGAACAGATTGATGGAAATGTGGTGTCTAGTCTGATTTGTGATGAGTCTCCTGATACTTTGGACCCTCCGATTCTTGGCTTTTTGTTTTAGTTTTTTTTATTTCAAAGCAAATAAACCCACATTGTTTTGTGCTGATGGGACATACATCCCCTCTGCTGACAGCTGTTTTGTCGACACAACAGTAACTGACATGTTTGAGATGTACCAACTAACTTGGGAAAACGTGGCCACAACTAATAGAGATTCTGCTTCCTACATGACTGTTTGCACAGGAGATTAAACTCAATCAGAAACCGGAGCTCCTACGTATTACCTGTCCAGTTCATCTGATTAATGCTGCGCTGTCAGCAGCTACTGCTACGGAAGAAATGAAAGATGTGAAATTTTGCATCACTGGATTCAGGGCCATTTTCAAGCATGCAAACAAACTGAAGGCTTTGTTTAACACAGTGCGAGTTGAGTGCAGAGCCAATTGCCGATTAACTACCCCTGTGTTGGGCCACATTGGTGGATGAGCTTGTATTTCACTGTTTGTTATGTAAATAACACATGGACTGGCAAATAACCAAAATAAGTGCTAGATTCTGTGCACCAAAGTAATACTCATTGTTGAAAACTTGGGAGTCACTGTGTGACACACAGAAAACACTCAACTTTTCTCCAACTACTGCCAACACATTTGCCAATACAGATATTTACTGGATCCTGAGAACCAAAATCTCAGCTGAACTGAGCACAAAAGCTGAAGGAGAAACATATGGCAAGAAAACCCAGCTGTTTCTGGAAATCCTTCCCACCCTGGAACACAAGAAAATCAAACAAGCACTCAAAACCTTCAACACAACACAGCCAGAAATAGGAGACGACCGTGGCCTATAATCTGAAACCCAAAGTGTTTGGTGCCAAAATTCTTTTTGGAATGTCATCCAGATATTGCACCCTTTCCTCAAGATTAATTTTGCAGCAGACTACGACTGTTATGCCAGAGTATTTCAACCATTTGCTACTAAAGATAAAATTTCAAATCTGAAAGGGGCATTTACTAATTCCATGAACTTCCCTAACCCTGACGATACGAAACTGGATGTTCTGGATTCTTAGAACAACATCAAGACACACTTCCCAACTTCAGCAAAGTGGCACAGCAAGCTATGAGTGTATCCCCTGAATCTATTGATGCAGAGTGCATATTTTCTAAGTTGGATTAATTCCATGACAACAAGAGGCTCAACATGAATGAGGATACTTTGAAGAAAATTATGCAAGCATTCGCAAACCAGGATTTCTGGAAAAACTATACACTCTGAGAGAGACAAAATATACCTTTGTACACACAAAAAAAGTTTCAGTTATACTGTAGTAAAATATGTATATTACAAACTTTTTTTTTGTTTTTCCTTTTTCCTCTCCTCCTCCTCCCCCTGATTTTTCGCAATTTTTTTAACCTCTTTTCATCCCGTTTTTAAGGTTTGGAAAATAAACACTGAAAAATTCCCGGACTTTTTTTTTTTTTTTAAACAAATAAAAACTGAAAATGCAGAATACTCATAGGTCAGGCTTTTTAACCATTTATCATTTTTGTTACTCTCCACCAGACCCTCTGCAATGTGTTAATATCTTTCTTAAAGTGTGGCCCTCAGAATTGGACTCCAGCTGAGGCCTCATCAGCGCCAAACAGACAGGACAATTACCTCCCATGACTTACATATAACACTTCTGTTCATTCACCCCAGAACTATATTAGCCTTTTTTGCAACTGCATCACATTTTTGACTCATATTCAATTTGTGAGCCACAGTAACCCCCGATCCTTTTCAGCAATATTATCGCCTAGCCAGTTATTCCCCATTTCACAGTTGGGCATTTGATTTTTTTATTCCTAAGTGTAGTACTTTGCACTTGTCTTTATTGAATTTCATCATGTTGATTTCAGGCCAATTCTTTAATTTGTCAAGGTCATTTTGAATGCTAATCCTGTCTTTCAAAGTGCAAGCAACCCCTCCGTACTTGGTGTCATCCACACATTTTATAAGCATACCCTTCACTCCATTATCCAAAATACTGAACAGAACTGATCCCAGGACACAACCCTGGAGGACCCCACTAGATATGTCCTCCCAGTTTGACAGTAAACCATTGATAACTATTCTTTGAGTAAGGTCTTTAAACCAGTTATGCTTCCACTTTATAGTAATTTCATCTAGGCCACATTTCCCTAGTTTGCTTATATGAATGTCATGTGCGACTGTGAAATCAAGATGAATCACGCCTACTTCTTCGCCGCCCTCCCTCTCTCATCCACTAGGCCAGTACCCTTGTCAAAGAAGGAAATTACATTGGTTTGGCATGGTTTGTTCTTAGCAAATCCACACTGGCTCTTACTGATAAATCTATTATACTCTAGGTGCTTTAAAACTAATTGTTTAAAAATTTGTTCCAATATTTTTCCAGGTATCAAAGTTAGGCTGTCTGGTCTCAGGGGTGAAAGTAACTTAAATCTCTTACTGTACGCAGGGCTGCCGGGCTCCTGAGCAAGCGGGGGGGCGGGGGGGGGAAGCACCGTGGCTCTGGAAGGGGCGGGGCCTTGGACAGAAGGGGCATGGCCAGTGGCATTGGAACAATTTTTAGGGTGGGGGTGCTGAGCTGCAGCCCTCCCTACCCCCACCCCGTCCGCATCCCTCAACGCCCCAGGCTGGGACCACCGCTGGGGGCAGCTGAGGAGCTCCAGGCCGGGTCCAGGAGCAGAGCCCCACCGCCGGGACCCCGGGCAGCAGCAGAAGGCCTGATGGCTGGGACCTGGGACCAGCAGCTGGGACCTGTAGCGGAGCCCCTGGGCAGGGGGCCGGCGGTCAGGACCCCGGCACAGGGCCACGCTGGACACAAAGCCTGGGGAGCAGCAGCACCCCCTGCACCCCTACTTCCCACACCTATGGGCAGGACTGGGGGGCCAGCCTCCCCCAGCCAGACCTTCAGCGCTGCCGGGCAAGCTCTGCCCGGGGCTCCAGTGGTGATTTAAAGGGCCTGAGGTTCCAGCCACTGCTACGGTAGCCCTGGGTCCTTTTAAATAGCTGGGCCCCATGGCAGCTGCCCCTTTTGCCCCCCGTCGGCAGCCCTGCCAGTACGGTCCTTAAAGCACTGCTGCGGCAGTGCTCTAACTTCGACTGTGTACCAGCCAGTACTGGCAGCCACCTTCTTACCAGTACACTGTACTGGCTTACTTTCACCTCTGACTGGTCTATAATTCCCTGGATCCCCTTTTTAAAAAAATAGGTACAATCTTCGTCCTTCTCTAGTCCTCCCCCATACTCCATGAGTTCTCAAAGATAATTACGAGTTGTTTCAGATAATTCCTTAAGGTACCCTAGGGTGCATTTCATCAGGCAATACCAATATGAATACATTTAAATATTCTTTAACCAGTTCTTTCCCTATTTTGATCTGCACGCCTTCCTCCTTGTTAATATTAATTGTCTTAAGTATCTGGTCACAATTTACCTTTTCTGTGAAGACTGAAGAAATAAGCATTAAACACCTCAGCCATCTGAATGTGGTCCATTATCAGCTCTCCTTCCCTGCTAGGTACAGGATTTACACTTTTCCTTTGTCTTTCTCTTGCTCCTAATGTCTTTATAAAACCTCTTCCTGTTGCCTTTTATTGTCCCTTGCTAGGTGCAACTCATTTTGTGCCTTAGACTTTCTGATTTTGTACATGTGCTATTCTTTTGTACTCATCCTTAGCAATTTGTCCATTTTCATTTTTTGTAGGATTCCCTTTTGATTTTCAAGTACAGCCGAAGCAGCCTCTTAGTATCCTTCCTATCTTTCCATCACATCAGGATCGTTTAATGTTATGCCTTTAATATGGTCTTGGAGAAGCTGCTAGCTCTCCGGAACTCATTCATCCCTTAGATTTTCCTCCCAGGGGACCTTACCTTCCAGTTCTCTGAGTTTGTCTAAGTCCTTATTCTGCTGCTCTCACTCCTCCCTTTCCTTAGGATCATAAACTCTATTGTTTCATGATCACTTTCACCCACATTGCCATCAACCTTCAGATCTGCAATCAATTCCTCCCTGATAGTTAGAAGCAAGTCTAAAATGGTGTTCCCCTGGTTACTTCCACCATCTTCTTAAACAAAATGTTGTCCCCAATACAAGAACTTTGTGTGTTTTGCCATATTGCTTTTCCAAGAGATGCCTGGGTAGTTAAAGACCCCCAGTCCTACCAAATCTGATGTTTTGGTTATTTCTATAATTTGTTCTAGAAATGCTTCAATCACCTCCTTCTCCTGATTTGCTGGTCTATAGTAGACCCCCTCCCATGACATCATCTCTCTGTTTTCCCCCCCTTTGTCTTCACCAAGTCTATATACTTTGTGTTGTTTTTTTATACTCACCACAGATTTTGCATTCCACAGGGAGTTCACAGTACTTGGCCCTACACTGGGGACAGAAATATCCACCCAACGTGAGACCTGGATCACTGTTGTTTTCCAAGTGCCTGGGGGTGGGGCAGGAAGAGAAGAAATCAATACTGTTGAAATCTCTTGGACAAATGTGAAACTGTTGGACAGAACTGGAGAACGAGCATAGAGTTTGTCACAGAGTTTGGTGTGATGCAAAGTTGCAAATCAACCAGAAAATTCACTATTAAATACACTTTTCCTTAAATGACATAGCCATTTAATGAAGTGTTACAACAAAACACCAACACTTTAACAGGGTCTTTAATTAAATCCTGGGATTAACCTTCCCATTTATTAAGTAGCAAAATATTCAGAAATTTATTAAGTGTTACCTAGTAGCTCAATTTCCACTGGTAATGGAGTTTCTAACCCTGTGTCTCAATAATACCCAAGAATAGGGAAATATCATGAGGAGTTCAATAAGCTTCTTGAAATGTGATCCAGGATCTAATGGTTTAAGGAAATCTTTTTCCAAGAGAGGAAATGTATGCTTGATTTAGCCACCTGCTTTTGACTCAGAAGCCAGTACCACGCTTTCCCTCAATAACAGAAGAAAAGATTAATTTTCCCCCCACATAACTGAAATTTCCTTTACCTCTAGAAAGTGACTTTATAAAAGGCATACACTATATTATAGTCATAATTTTTCCCCTCACACAGAGAAACTCTGGTTTGGACTTAAAAACTAAAGATATGCATTTTAATTCTCTCATGGAGTATACACGGTTCTTCTTCGAGTGATTACTCATATCGATTCCAATTAGGGGGGGTGTGCGCCATGTGCACAGTCATTGGAAAGTTTTGCCCCTAGCAGCACCCGTTGGTTTGGCCGTGGAGCCCCCTAGAGTGGCACCTCCAAGGCGGACCGTCGGGGAGTTCAACGGTACAGAGGTACCGTTGAACTCCCCGAGCCAGGTGACTGAGGAGGTGGAACTGCGGTCCACCTCGGACACCTTTGAGGCCACAAGGGACTTGTTTGCCACGACAGCGCCAAGGTCCCCGGTCCTCCGTGCCAAGCCTCCAGTGCCACAACGTATGGCTCCATCTTGAGGCAAACCGGCAATGCTTTGTCCTTCAGTATCGCCAGCAGAGGCAAGATACCGCTCTGAGTCCCAGCACCACTCGGACTCATGGCACCGGTCAGATTCGCAGCACGGGTCCAAGTCACGCCAGCGCTCCGGATCGCAGCACCAATCCCCGTTGCACAGCAAGTCCCACTCCTGGCTCCGGTTGTCTTGGCACCGGTCGGCATCTCCGTGCAGACCCTACTCACGGTACCACTCCAGGTCCAGTCTCGCGGCACTGCTCCCCAGCCCAGCTCCGCACCACCCTGGCCATCATGGTCCCAGTCCCTGTCTTCAGAGACGGGGTCCAGACATTCGGCACGGGGCCGATACTGGTGAGCCCATAGAAGGCCTGATGTGGGTGCAGGGCCATGGCCTGCGGAGTGGCAGGGATCAGTGTAGTAGCCATTTTGAAACCCCATGGGTGTACCACCAAGCCCAGGGCACCCAATCTAAAGGTTCCCATTCAGTGGTGTCCGAACCAAGGGTGCCGGAGGCATCGGCCAGTCGCCCCACCCCTAAGGGTGCTGAGGTTGTACCGGCCACACTACCTCCCCTGGAACCAACCCCCGTTCCTGTGCCAGACCCCACGGTGGTTGGCCCAGATGTAGAGGCAGAGCAGGAGGCCCCAGGGACCGGAAGGGGCAGGAGGAACCCGTGTCCTCCCTGGACGAGGCGTTTGTGGGGACCTCCGCCTCGGGGCCGCCCCCATAGACAGCTGTGCCCACCAGGACCTCCTATGCAGGGTGGCACAGAGCATGGGTCTACAGGCCAAGGAGGTGGTAGAGTGAGAGGCCCCTATGGTTGACATCTTGGCCCCGGAAGGCCCATCAAGGGCGGCTCTACCCCTTATCAAAACTATCCAGGCCAACGCAAAGATCATTTGGCAGACCCCAGCCTCCATCCTTCCCACCGCAAAGAGTGTGGAGAGGAAATACTTCGTCCCTCTAAGGGGGAATACCTTTTCACATACCCGCAACCCTGCTCTTTGGTGGTGGCTGCGGTGAACGAGAGGAAGAGGCAGGGAGAGCAAGACCCAGCGCCTAAGTTGAAGGACTCCAAGCGCCTGGATCTGTTCAGGCGCAAGGTGTACTCCACTGGGGGTTTGCAACTCAGGATTGCCAACCAGCAGGCAATCCTGAATAGATACAGTTTCAATTCGCAGAACTCTATGCTGAAATTTAAGGAGCAAAATCCAGGGAGGAGTTCAGAGCTATTGTTGAGAAGGGCAAGACAGTGGCACGGACCTCTTTACAGGCCTCACTGGACACTGCTGACTCGGCGGCATGCACCTTGTCCTCCAGAATTGCCATGCAGCATAGCTCACGGTTGCAGGCGTTGGGGCTTCCGCCCAAGGTCCAATAGACCATGCAGGACCTGCCTTTTGATGGGACGGCCTGTTTGAGGAGCAGATGGATTCCAGGCTGCCCAGCCTAAAAGACACGTGGGCAACTATCAAATTATTGGGCATGCATACCCCGGCAACCCAACACAAACATTTTAAGCTGCAGCAACAGCAGCAATGCTCCTATCCTCCTTGGCTGAGGCAGGATTTCTATAGGAGAAGAGGCAGGAACAGCAGGCGCAAGCCTTTCCACCCCTCATCTGGGCAGGGCCAAGGCCTGACCAAACCATCATCAGGTTCAAAGCAGGCCTTTTGAAGGTGCGCCTGAGGATGGCACATCAGCCATGACCCCAGATCCTTCCCCTTGTTTCTTGAATTGTCTGTCCCACTTCTGCCGTGCTTGGTCCCAAATAACAGACCGCTGGGTCCTTCGCACAGTAAAAGTGGGATATTCTCTACAATTCTGCTCCTCCCCCCTCTTCCCCATCCCTCTTCAGGAACCCTTCTCACGAGCAACTCCTTATCCAGGAGGTGCGGGCACTCCTCGCCAGAGGAGCGGTAGAGGAGGTTCCTCAGTAGCTATGGGGCAAGGGATTCTATTCCCAATACTTCCTAATCCCCAAAGCCAAGGAGGGCCTCAGACCCATTCTAGACTTGCAAGGCCTCAACAAATTCATAGTAAAGTTGAAGTTCCGCATGGTCTCCCTGAACACCATCATTCCGTCTCTGGATCCGAGAGACTGGTATGCCGCCCTCGACCTCCAGGACGCTTACTTCCATATATCCATACGTCCAGCGCACAGACGGTTCCTCCCTGTAGCCCATAGGATTATTTTGCTAGCTATTATATCCTACTAATCCAGCCAGCTGTATCAAATAATAGGTTTCTGAAATTAATCTATTTCATTCTTTTATTTTATCAGTATTAATTCCTTGGAATTTAGGATGTGTTGAGGCATATGGTGCCTAATAATAAGTTTCGCTGAAATGCAAGAAGCCTACCGATCTGTAATATCCAGTAAGATATGCTATACAGCAAAAAGTATAATCAGTTATGAATATGTCAGCATAAAAGCTGGCAACTTGGCACAGATAAGTATGGTCCCTGAACTTTAGGGAACCAAAGGGGGGGGAACTATCCACATCACATCACAGGTTTATCTAACATCTACAACCAGTTGGTAACCGCAGGGTACACCACAACTTGGAGGTCACCAAGAGAGCCTAGGCTGGCAGTTTTGGAGTGAGATAATCCTTATTAATATATTTAGAAAGTGTCATAATCCACTAACCTATAGGAAAAGGGTACTCAAATTTCTTAGGGTATGGCAATAAGATTTGGGTATAGTAGGTTGGGCCTGAATTACATAGGGTCAGGATCCTATAAAATACCTTGTAAGAAAGGCTCTTGTAGGCTCTTCTAGCTGCTGAAGCTTTGGTTTCTTGGAGTGCTTTTTCCAGTTCTCCTATACTCTATATACTATCTTTTCATCTATCTATTCTATCCTCTGTAACGCTATCAGATCAGCTTGTGTAGTATAGTATAACTACTCAACATTCCTAACTATTGGGGAAGCCAGTACACATCGATCGTGTAATCAGGCATGCCAGGAGTGAGGCTGGTCCTTCACCTCCTATTACCGGGTCCTCAACAAAGGGTGAGAGTATGTTAGGTTAAGGTACTTATAATAGAAATGTTACCACCAGGAGTTTTGCAAATTTTTTTTTTTATTTTATTTTATTTTTTTTACTGTTTTGCAGTTATAAGTTTCATAGCATTTATTATTCTTATGTTCATTTCAAAAAAGTTTTTATTAATTTGGTATTGTCCTCAGTGTACATGTTCTTGCCAAGCACCCCGAGAGTCCTCTCCCGATATAGAACTCTGAGTTCTTAAACTCTGTAGTCTGAATTGGATAAGAACCTATAAATCTTCTGGTCAGATGCGATCAGTGGCAAGCCATAACAATTAACCCATCAAATTCAGGTCAACATCCCCTTCGGCCTGTCAACAGCCCCCCAGGTATTCACCAAGTGCATGTCATTCATAGCGGCCTTCCTTTCTCGAAGGCCGATGCAGGTGTACCCGTACCTCGACGACTGGCTGCTTCGGGGGTGCTCCAAGGACCAGGTGGAATAATAGATTTGACTGGTGAAATCCACCTTTGACAATCTAGGTCTCCTCCTGATACAAACTCAGAGAATAGAGTTTATAGGGGCAGTGCTGGACTCGACTCGGGCCAGGGCGTTTCAGACAATCTCGGACATCATACGCTGCCTCAGACAGTACCTCACCACCACAACAAGGGGCTGCATGATCGCATGGCGTCATGCACGTATGTGGTGCAACACGCCAAGAAGAGACTCAGACCTCTCTAGCTTTTCGCCAAGGACGCGACAGTCTGGACTCGGTGGTCACCCTACCAGCACAAGTCCTCCAGGCACTCGACTGGTGGCTCAATCAGCAGGAGGTGTGCAAAGGGATCCCCTTCCACAAGCCCCAGCCTTCCCTGTCTCTGGTAACAGACGCGTCAGCGCTGGGTTGGGGTACTCACCGGGCGACTTGCAAACATAGGGCCTCTAGTCCCAGGACAAGCTCTCGCTCCATATCAATATAAAGGAGTTGAGAGTGGTGCGGCTCGCATGCCAGACCTTCCAGGCGCACTTGCAGAGTCAGTGCATGGGAGTCACGACGGACAACACGACTGCTATGTTTTATATAAACAGGCAGGGTGGTGCCCATTCCTCTCCCCAATGTTAGGAAGCCCTCCAGCTGTGGGAGTTTTGCATAGCCCACTCAGTTCACCTGGAGGCAACCATGAGGTCCTTCCGCAACCACAAGTGGTCCATCCAGCCGCACGTCATCCTCATCATCTTCCAGAAGTGGGCAATTCCCCACATTGATCTCTTCGCCACTCAAAGCAACAGGAAGTGCCAGCGGTTCTGCTCCTTCTGAACCACAGCCAAGGTTCCATCGCGGATGCCTTCCTCCTGTCATGGTCCGACCATCTGCTATAACGCATTCCTGCTGTTTCCGCTTGTACACAAAGTCCTGCTCAAAATCCGCAGGGACAAGGCGCGGCGGTCATACTAGTAGCGCCGGCATAGCCACGCCAGCACTGGTAAACCACCCTCTTGGAGCTGTCAATGGACGTCCCAGTCACGCTGCTGCTGTTCCCAGACCTGATCACCCAGGACCATGGTCGTCTTCGTCACCCAGACCTCCAGTCTCTCCACCTCACGGCCTGGAAGCTTCATGGCTAAACCGCATGGAGCTCCCGTGCTCCGTCAGGGAAGTTCTACTCAGTAGCAGGAAGCCCTCCACTAGGGCCACCTATCTGGCAAAGTGGAAGAGGTTTACGATCTGGTGCTCCCAGGCCCCCATTCCTCTCATCCTGGACTATCTGTTACACTTTAAGCAGCAAGGCTTGGCTGCTTCTTCCATCAAGGTACACCTAGCAGGTATCTCTGCATTCCACCCAGGAGCAGCTGGGTGCTCCCTCTTTACCAACCCCAGGGCTGGCCGCTTCCTCAAGAGCCTGGAGTGTCTGTACCCACAGGTTCGGCAGCCAATCCCTGCATGGGCCTCAACCTGGTTCTCTCCAAACTGATGGGGCCCTCCTTCGAACCGTTGGCAACCTGCTCGCCCCTTTATCTATCATAGAAGGTTGCCTTCCTAGTTGCCATTACTTTGGCAAGATGGGTTTCGGAGCTCTCACCTCTGACCCTCCATACAGGGTCTTTTTCAAGGACAAGGTGCAGCTTAGGCCTCACCTGGCTTTCCTTCCAAAGGCTGTGTCCCAATTTCACTCTAACAAGAACATTTTCCTGCCTGTGTTTTACCCCAAACCGCATGCAAGCAGTCAGGAGCATACACTCCACTCTAGACATTCGCTGGCTGCGCGCCTTTTACATCGAACACATGAAACCATTCCAAAAGTCGAACCAGCTATTTGTGGCAGACCAAATGAAAGGCCTCCCAGTCTCGTTGCAGAGGATCTCATTGTGGATTACCTCCTGCATCCACACCTGCTATGAATTAGCCAACGTTCCAGCCCCGGCTCTCATGGCTCACTCCACAAGGGCACAGGCATCATCGATAGCATTTCTGACCCAGGTGCCAATTCAAGAGATCTGCAGGGTGGCAATGTGGTCTTCGGTGCATACCTTTGCTGCTCACTATGCCATGACCCAGCACGCTAGAGACGACGCAGCCTTCGGCAGGGCAGCGCTCCAGTCTGTGATTCCATAACTCTGACCCCACCGCCTAGGTAAGGCTTGCAAGTCACCTAATTGGAATCAATATGAACAATCACTCGAAGAAAAATAGTTACTCACCTTCTCGTAACTGTTGTTCTTTGAGAGGTGTTGCTCACATCCATTCCAAACCCAGCCACCTTCCCTTCTGTCGAAGTAACTGGCAAAAAAAGAACTGATGAGGTGCCGGGTCGGCATGGTCATATATTGAGTGCCATGGAGGCGCCACTCCAGGCGGCTCCACAGCCGACCCGACAGGTGCTGCTAGGGGAAAAAACTTTCTGATGACTGTGCACGCGGCACGCAAACACCCTAATTGGAATGGATATGAGCAACACATCTCGAAGAACAAGAGTTATGAGAAGGTGAGTAATCGTTTGTTTCCTTCTGAAACTTAAAAAAATTTTCTATTGTCTCTTCTCACAAAGAAGGGCACTCTCTTGCTAATCAAGCTTTCAATTTCACTATACATTAGCAATGAAATTAATGGAAGACTCAGTACCAGGTATTCTTTCCTTATCACCACCAGGTTTACGGATCGGATTTATATTATTTGCTATAGCATAGTAGAAAGTGTATATGTATTGCAGTGGCTCCTAAAGGCACCAGTCAGGGATCAGGGTCCCATTGTGCTAGGCACTATACAAACAACCAAAAGATGATCGCTACCCTAAAGATCTTAAAATCCAAGTAAGTGTAAGATAAGAGACAACAGCTGGATACAAACAGATGTTAGCAGCACAAGATAAAATGAGACTATTATGAACAGTTGTACGCAGTGACCTGAAGAGGACCTCTGTATAAGCGCAAAAGCTTGTCTCTCTCACCAAAAGAAGTTGGTCCAATAAAAGATATTACCTCACCCACCTTGTCTCTCATTATGAACAATGTCATAAGCAGTGATCACAGCACACCAGCTGCTTACCCATTTTCATGATGTTTTGTACCTTTCAGTGCATATACAGCATTTTCTAAGTTTATCTAGATACCACAGAATTCTAATAATGCCTTAAACTAACCATAATTTTACTTACGCCATGCTAAATGATGGTTTAGCATCCTGATCAGAGAGAGATGCAATGGTATGCTGAGGAAAACCTTAGGAGCCAAGAAAAATATTACATCACTATATGAATTGGTAACATACAACAAACAGTTTCCTATTTGAGTGGAGAAGTTAAAAAGTTAGGGGTTACTGTTTAAAATATTTCGTGTTATTACAGAAGTCAATGCACCTTTTCCTAGATACTAAATCCATCATGAGTGTTCTCTTCCTACTTCTGCCTCCAAATCCTGTATTGCATCACCTTACAAAAACAATTTTTTTTCCCCCACTTAGAGTGAAACTGACAAACCCCAATTTTTTTGGCAAACAATTACAGAGAAAATTAGGTGAGATAGTAGAGAAGGAGAAAGAGCAATGTATTAAAGGGAACTAATTTAATGTTCAGACTTCAGAGACATGATCCCTTTGAGTGCAGTGTGATGGTTAATACAATATTTTCTAGAGGTCCTAGGTAGCTTCCAGTCCACCTCTGGTAATTATTTTTATAGCTCATCTCAACCAAGAAGATAGTTTTTCTTATTACTGTTCCACTGATTAGACTGAAAAAACAAAAGCTTAAATCATTTAATTATAAGGATGATTACACACAAATGTCTACTTTTTATGTATTTATTCACTTTGACGAATGAAAAGAAAGTTGTTTTAAAGTGGGAAACAAGCCTGTACAGAGGCACAGCAGCAGAACATTGTGCTGCTACTTAGCTTCAGGCTCACACTCTTTCAGAATTCTTTTTCTATCACGAGGAAGCAAAGGAGCTCATTCCAGTTGTTAGAAAGGAACAAGCTGACAAGATTTCTCCTAATATATGCCCAATCAGTTAATCACAGCAATACGGGCATGAATTTAAAAGGCTTGTGGATTTTGGCGTAGGTACAGAAGGCAGTCATCATGATAAAATGGCAAATAGAAATACAAATGGAGAGGCACACTTTTTAGGTTTATCATCTTAATATTTTACATATCACATTTTTCTACTACCGCACAAAGAAATATTGTGTAAAATTTGTTACTACCCACTTAAAATGGAGTTTTGTCTCTTTTTTGTTTTAATTCTCAATTTTCAATTTAAATAGCTAAATGGTTTGTAGGTATACTGTTAAATATGTTAAAATCCAGTTTGCTAAAACTGAAAAATTAAAGTGAAAACAATTATGCATCAATATGTTTCAGATTTCAAACAGCTTCCTTGTTCATATTACTTTAATACAGAAGACACAAAAGAGGATGTTACATCAAAGATTCTTAAATCTTGCATTTAAAATTTAATAAAACAAGATCCTACCCATTCGAATAAGGGAGCATTCAGAACTTGAACTGGCAGGTGGAGGGCTAATATGATGCATCAGCAGCTCCTTATAGTGGCTTTCATCTAAAATTACATGGTATGTTCCTACCATGGAGAAAGAAAATGCATGACTCTCCGCTGACTCATTTATTAAGAATAGGTAAACACCACAATCATAATACCTGTTCAAATAACGTATGGATAGTTTTACTGAGATCAGAACCATGAACAAGAAAAAAAAATGGAAAATCAAGTTTAGGCAAAACTTGAAAACAGTTTAAGCAAAAATGTATAATGCTAATAGCGCAAAATATATGGGATGTTACCTATAGTTACTACGTTTTTTTTTAAATATACAAGTATGACTGTGTACCTCTAAAAAGTTAGATAGTGAGAGCCTACCTTTCCCTCTCCACACTAACTGATACAATGCAATTTTTTTCCAACTCACCATTGTAGTCACTAATGGTAATATATGTTTATTAACTTTAATATGATACAGTTTGCCTACAGACTTTTTCAGGTATCCTTATTTCTTTAATCATCTCTCTTACAAATCAGCAACTATAGTTATATATCAAATTTACTGAATTTGTATGACTTCTTTAAACAGAGGGAGCAATTATGAAATATTCTCCTAACACAACAGTATGGTAAAAAAAATACATCCTCTTTAAACATCAGAATTTATTTTTAAAAAATTGTCAAATCTTTCAGACTTACTTTTAGACTTAAATGACTATTACTGACAGATGTTCAGAATCAGTCTATATACTTACCACCCGTTTCGCGGGCAAGTACAGTACAAACTCGAACTTCAGCAGAGAGGCCGATGACAGATACTCTGATCTTAACTGCCTTTAAACACTTCACACAGAAAAACAAAAAACACTCAAATGCATCAGCAGAACTGAAAACTGTAAAAGGTATATACATTTTCAATTTAAAAGTAATCACAAAAATGATGCGTCAACAACATTTTTTTTAAGAAGGACTAATTCTTCACTTCTATACCTTAATTAGATCATAGATATTAGATGGATCACACGTTGTCAGGCTACTGAAGATAATCAAAACCTCTCTGCTTGTATGTCCTGGCATGTGCCTATAGAAGGTAAAAAGATGTATATTTAAATTAGCTATAAACGAAGAATATAACAATTACATACACGTATGTTGAAGTTTGATGCTGTGGCTTTTTAAGAATCCCCAAGAGTAACATTTCCTAGTACTCAGTTGTACAAAATTCAGAAAAACACATGGCTAATGCCCACAAACACCAAAGGACGCTGTAAATCCCTCAGAGAACTGCTCCCACAATAAGGTCATACTTTTCCAAAATCTAACCTACTGAAATAACCCTTTCAGTTGATGGCTTGTTATAGTTCTTGAAGTTATCCCACCACAGTCCTCCAGGGAAAAATCAGATTCAGTCTGACACCACCACAACAAATCATCGAGCATTTTTCTTTTTTTTAAAACATTATTCTGTGGCCAATTCAGAGATGCAAATCTATGACATCTTTCACAGAGAGCGGGTCCTCAAAGTTTCCAGTGTCTTTCTATCTCTCTCACTTCCACATATCAGAATACAGCAAATGCTTTAAGATTTTTTCTTTTCAACTCCCTATAGAAAAAAATCACCATCAACTCAGACAACAAGCTTCTTGTCTTTCCTTTTGAGGCTTTTAATAATTTAGAACCACTCTAACTAGCCGTCCTAGTAACTTACTGCAATGTCCACCACCACCTTTACTCTGTCATTGTTCTTGGCCTTTCTTGCTCACCTGTCAGACTCTCCCTCAAACATCCATTCTTTCTCTCATGCCACTTATTTACCATGCAAGCTCCCTCCCAGCAAAAATCTAAAACGCTACTATTTTAAAACTCACTTTTCATGTGAAACATACAAAACCCAGCCAGATGACCTTGGCACAGGTGGTAAGCTGTGACTGTTCCTCTTCCCCCTCATTCCTTTTCTCATATCTTTAACTAACCCCCACTCCTGCCATTCCCCCAGACCCTACCTCTACAGCCAAATTAAAAATAAATAATTAAAAATAAAAAATAGGAAACTAACAAAATTGATGGTATTTCATCATCCTGTTCATTTACCTGTCTTCTATATCCCGATTTCCAAACCTTCATCTGTTATTAGATTTTAACCTTTCTAGGACCGGGACTATGTTGTCTTCAGCTGTGTTTGTACAATACCCAGCACAATGGGGCTTGGATCCTGAGTGGGGCCTTTACACACTATCATAATTAAAAAATAATTCATCAACTGCTCCTTTTGCTACAGTAACCCAAGTTCCATTTGTCCGAGTCTCATAGTCGAGTTCATTAAAACCATTCCTACAGACCATTACTTACACCACTTTTCCATTTGACTTTACAGCTTTGGACTGCTCCATGAAAAGTCTGTTCATATCTGAGGAGCTGAGCCACTTACTATGCAGAAAACAAATTTTAGTATGTTCTTTGCTTTAATGGATATGCAGTTAAAAGTTCAAAATCTGCACTTTTCAGCTCTTTGCATGTAATAGCTGTGGTCTTGACTACCTCTTCAAAGAATAGAATGAAATCCTATACACAAATACTCAAAGTGTTAATTTTGGCAGTAACTGTTTCTCTAAGGTGCTGAAATGGAGTGAACCAAAAGACATGGGGACATTTGATATTTATGTTACAGATATCTAACAGTTATGTTTTGTTTATATGTTTTGATAAATACTTTGTGCTCTTATAGAGACAGAAAGCCAAAGTTCCCCACTTCTTACTAATATTAAACAATGCTTCCAATTTTTCCTAACAACAATTACATACTCACATCTGAACAGCAGCATAAACAGGTTTTTGTCTGGGAATATTAAATGCTTTAATTTTTTATTTTTAAATGACAATTCTGTTGACTGTGCATTGTACAAAGCAGAAGTTAGTTATCTGTATTGCAATAACACCTTAAGGTATCTCAGAAGGATCAGTGCAGCACTGTGCAAGGCATTACTCCCAACACAAATATGCTCCCTGCCACAAAGAGCTTACAATCAGCATTTTATCAGTTTCTGTTGTTCCAAAAAGAATGAAACCTATAATAACCTACATATACTAACTTTAAAGTCTGCATAGCCAAATTTAAAGAGTTATACAGAGATGGTTCTCCATGGCAGGTCAGATCTACAGCTTTCTTCAGAGCAGTTGTATGCTTTCTTGGGTTTCCTATAAGTAAAAACAAAACCCATCTGAAATGGTAAGATTAAAAAAAACAAAACAAAAAAAAAAAAACACCTTACAATTGTACATTTTTCTGTTAATTTATACTGATACAGTATGAAATACATAAACAAAATATCCTAGTGTGAACTATATCACAAATTGTTTTAGTAACAATACTATTTAGTACTTACATTGTCCTTTATATCCTCAACACACTGTACAAACATTAAATCACTCTCAAAGCACCTAAACAAGGTAGTAGTTATCCCAATTTTACAGATGGCTTAGTAGACAAGGAGAGGTTAAATGATTTGCCTGAAGCCACACAGTTTGTTAGTGGTAGAACATACATTAGAAATCAAGAGTTCCTGTTTTTCAGCCTCATCTCTAATCCACTAGATCATAAGGCCTCCATTAACTACAATTACAAAGTTAAAACAGATAACAAGGAGAGAAAGAAAATAACCAGTATCGGGAAAAAAGGTGTTTTTCATATGATATTTGAAATATTGATGAGGGAGAAATATGAGAAGGCTGTTCCAAACGGGAAGAGCTCCTAGAAGACGGCTCTCGCACTGAATCATGAAAATGTATATAAAAGAGGAAGTTGGTGAGAGAGGAAAAAAAAAGAGAGCAGAAAGCGCAGGCAATAGAGAAATTCATGTGTTGGCACTCAATACAAATTACATGCACAAAGTTATCAAGAGAAAAATCAATACTGAAATTTGATTTCTGCTCTTAAAACATACGTATATTTATATTCCTAAGCATAAGTAGACTCCCTGACCAATCAGAAACTTATCTCAAAACAGGCTACAATCCTGCAATTAGATCCACTAACGTGGACCCCTACACCTTTCTGATGCTCTACTAACTTCATTAGGGTCTGCCTGTATGGAACAAGTTGCAAGATCAGGGCTGTAGAGTGCAACAGTTATAGTGATGACAATGATTCTCTAATACAAAAGGATACTTCTTTCCTACCTGAAAGTTCTGTCAGCTTTTCAGCTCTTTTACTCTTAGTTACAATTATACCAATCTGCAAGAAATAGTTCTATTAGTGAGTTATCATCAATTTGATCTACATTCTTAGTATACCCTGTGTATTGTTATATAGATCTTTTTGGATCAGTGCTTACAATACCCACATATTTCTCTGCAGCCTTTCTTTGCAAGCACAGTAATTTAAAACCAGCTCTCACCTTGAGATACAGGAAATTACTAGCACAACTCCCTTTGTATTAAGATGAAAATATATTCTTAATTCTTCACTCTATTGGTACCTCTAGCCCGTAAGGACTAAACTGTCTCTTTACATCCTTTTTCTGGCATTAAGAATGCAATTCCAAATCCTAATTGTGTTAGCATTCGTACTTCAGAAAACTGTAAATCAATATTCAATTGAATTCTCATCCTCACCATTTAAGAGGGAAAAAAACATTACACAAGATCAGGGGAGAAAGAGGAAAAGACTACTAATATTAATTTAAAATAATCTGTTGAAAAATTTTTAATTAAAATTAAATGAAAACTTCAAAATAGTTCTTCCAACTTTGTTTTCAGACAACTGCTTAATCAGTAACAATGAATCTGTTTTCCCAAACAGGTGTACATACCTACCTGACTAATAGGATTTTGGTCAAAGTATTCTTCAACAAAATATTCCAATAACTATAAAAAAAAGTTCTGAGTATTAAGATAATTAAACACATCAGTCATTTCATAGCTGTTAAAATGACAGTACTTATAAAACCATTTAGAACCTTTAAACACCCCCATCCTCCCGCCCTCTACCCGCGACATTCCTTGGGTGCACAGTACCTTTCAGAAACTTTAGAAAAATCTCAGCTTACATTAACTACATGGTAACTATACTAGTATTATTTCTGCAGCAAATTTAAAATAGATCTAACAGCATTAGTTAGAATTAAGACGACAGCTGAAATTTTAGTCTGTAATACAAATCAGTGGTAATGATTACTGAGTTATTTTCTGTGACCAATAATCTTGTTAACAAAAATTAAGGTCCCAATCCTGAAAATGGTTGTGTACACACATTTAACTTTAAGCATGTGTGTACACCAATGAAGTCAACGGAATTACTCATGTCCATAAAGTTAAACACATGTAACTGTTTGCAGGAACAGACCAGGGACTAAGTCATATTCAGCCAAACTTATTCTACCTTCCATATGACTCAAATTCACTAACCAAAATACTGCTTAGTTTTGGTTAAACACATGGAAGATTAGAGTTATTTTAAACAGAGGGTCTTCCCCATTCACACAAAAGAAATATTGATAATTACTTAATTTTTAAAAAGCTATGAAGTTTAAACAAAGTGTGTTCCCCTAATTCACACCAAGGACCTTACATTATCTATACTTCTGAACAAATGGAAGATATTACAGCAGTGGTGGGCAACCTGCAGCCTGCATGTGGCCCATCAGGTAATCTGATTGCGGGCCGCAAGACATTTTGCTGACATTGACCATCTGCAGGCACAGCCCCCCGTGGCCACGGTTCGCCGTTCCCGCCAATGGGAGATGCGGGAAGCAGCGGGCCGCAGGGACATGCTGGCTGCTGCTTCCCGCAGCTTCCACTGGGAACCATGGCCACTGAGAGCTGCAAGGGGCCATGCCTGCGGTCAACATCAGCAAAATGTCTTGTGGCCTGCAATCAGATTACCCTGATGGGCCGCAGGTGGTCCACCACTGTATTACAGGGAAAAGAGAAAAATGGAGTATTTGATTCAGCAAAATGTGAAAGTTTTTCCTATGTTAGCTAAAATTTTTGCCATAAATACGGCACATAATAAAATGTTTTATTTGTATAGGAAATCAGAATGATACACATATTTTAAAACATAATTTTAATGCTTAGTGTTGTCAGGACAACATCTTATCTCCATCAAGTTCAGTCCTCTGTAGTTAGTCATACCTATCTAAACTGGAGTAAGTCACTATCACAGACTCAATCAGGACCTATATGAAGCATATTTTCAGCACAAAAAATTAAAATTTATTTTTAAGAAGTGCAAAGTATATTTGTTCTCTTTCCACTGCATGCTGTGGGTGATACTTCACAGTCTGCCAACTCTCACATTCTTTGTATGGCACCTCCTGTTATTTAAACTTCTCCACAGCCCTCCTAACATAATTATTATTACTACTGTAGTGCCTAATGATGTACTAGCTACTGTACAAAATAAACACAAAGACAGCCTTTACTGCACAGAGTTTGAAACAGTGTTTCCCAAATCAGTGGTCCCAACCCACCAGTGGATTACAGGAATGTTCTAGACGGATCACCACAACCAGGGCTAGACTAACCCATCACTGCACAGCCTTGCCAAGCATACACTTCTCCCAGCTTGGTGAAAGTGGGGGGTTGGAGAGCAAGCCCACCCCATATTCATCCCACAGCGGCAGCTCCTCTCCCATGGGGCTGAGCCCAGCTCCCTACTCCAGATGTTGCAACCTGGTACCTGGGATTGCAGTCTCACCCATGCAAATTTGGTCACCATGGAGGGGAAGCAAGGCCAAATTTGAGAGAGAAGTGCTGTGCCCCCGTGCACCAGGTCATAACATCTGGAGGGGGACACACCCTGGATAGGAGCTGCCACTGCGGGATCAGTGCATGGTGGACTCACTCTCCAAACATGCCCTTCCTCTCCTAGTCCTCACACTAGGCCAGGATTAGGGTTGCAGTGCCAGAGCAGAGGGTGCATATATGTAATGGTGGGTTACAAAAGGGGAAGAAAAAAAAAAAAAAAAAAAAAAACCAAATGCTGTTGGTGAGTCGCCTTAGTACGAAGTCTGGGAATCACTGATCTATAGTTTGGAAAATATGCAAGTCAAACAACAGACAAAGAGGGAAGAGGCAGATGGGAGCATTAACATAAGTATTAGTCAAAGGTAGTTGCAATCCTGTTCGAGCCCAGATGGATGTGATCTGCAGACATCACAACAAAGGAAGATGAATATACTTTTGATAAAATAAATACCTTTAAGGTACACGTAAGCCTGTTAGGTTTTAAATCTTGGTCCTCCATAGTTCTTGATCCATCTACCACCACATAAAGGTGACGCATCTGAATCATAATCATAAAGGATATTAATTCCACAAATTCTTGGTTTGAAACAAACAAACTTTTAGAACTCACATTAAACACATTTATAAGACAGTAATTTAAAATAACTGCTGTTTATTTCAAGTAAATTAAATAGACAATATGTATAGCCTTCTCTGTCATATTGGCAATATTTAGAGTACAGAACAGCATAATGGCCTTTACGGATTCTTTGGTGGCTGCTGAAGAGGTTAAGTTCCTCTCCATCCTCCCTTTACAATGTGAGCAGAGATCTTCTCCTGATAAATGATCACTGTTCTCATCCTCTCTCAAAAGATGGATTATGGAATAATAATATTTTGTATTTATATCATCACTTCAACTGAGGAAGTCAGTGTTTTACAAATCAATCCGTTCTCACAGCTGGTTTGAATTAAGCTAGTACCATTATGCCCATTTTACATATTGGGAAACTGAGACTCCAAGAGGTTGTGTGATTCAACTGTATCACAAAGCAGGTCCTACCAAAAGAAATAGAGCCCAGGTCTCTTGAATATCAGACACTTTCAATATTTAGCATACCACACACCAACTCATGAAAGTCAAAAAAGTTGTCTGTTGGGACAGAAAGAAACCTCAAACTCATGCACATCAAGTCAGTAAAAATATTTCTTAGATTTGATGCCACTGTTTTCTGAAGAGGGAAAACCACTTCAGTACACATAATCTCAGACACAACAAAACTAGATCTAACAGTCAAGGGGAATATATAAACATACCATTCCAAGTCTAACTTGCCCATGGTGTTCAAAGATTCTGTTAAAAATACAGAAGAATTTGAGCTAAGACTATAACATGGGATTCTAAAACAGCATCAATAACGAAGGCCAATCCTACAGTTACATGACATGCTAAATTACCATTAACATCAATGCATTTAAAAGGGATGAAAGATTAGGTTCTAAATAAGCATACAACTAGGGCTGTGAAAAACTGTGGAGGGCAGAGGCTCAGTAAAAAAAAAAAAAAACAGTGCAGTGAGTCTTATCAAATTTTAATGGAGTTATTTGTTTCCAACTTCTTTGCCACTCTGAAGTATTTACACAAACATAATATATTTGAAAGTTTGGGTTTTTTTGCCTTAACATCAATCTGTGAATGAAAACTAGCCTTTGCCTAGAATGTTTTTAGACACAGAATTTTAAACAAAATCAATTTATAATTTGGTGCAAATAACACAGCACTAGGCAAATATCCAGCCAGTCCAATAATGAACAGATTAAAATAATCTGTATATCAATATTTTGTTAGAGGGCATACAAAGATGGATTCTGCTATTTACATTCAGTTGTCTAGATGCAGCACACTGCACTACCACATATAGAATATAAGTTTAGGACCCACTTTCTTTGGGAGCAGAGATATGAACTACCCAATATCAATGCCCTTAAACAGGTTGAAGAGAAATCTCAAAGTACTCTTTCTGGCACAATTAAGTACAGATGGAACTATGGAAGGGGAGGCTGAATCTAAGACACAGAATGTGGGGGAAAAGAGAAAGTATGTTTACTTATAAATACTGCAGTATGTTTAATCTATCCTATGGGGACCATTTTTTCTCAGTCCAATTCCTTTTACTTCAACGTAGTCACTCCAGAGATGAGCTTTTCCTAATGTGTTCCCTGTGCTTCAGAACTTCAGAACTGACTGCTTACCTTTTTCTCTTAGCCTTAAAAAGAATATCCTCTATAGTTGCTTTCAGTGACCCAGATTCATCTTCTTTGAGAACCTCCCTACAATGAACAATTTATTATATAAAAGTTAGATTAAATTCTCTCTCTTAAAATAAAATAATTAATAAAACAAAGCTTACCATGTTCTTTCATAACCCCCTTCCCAGCGTTTGGTTCTTTCAGGCTCGTCATCCATGTCTGTCTGTCTGTCCAAATCTGCTTACTTACAATACTGTTAAGGACAATGATTACATCCTTATAAGCAAGGGCATTTTGATAAATTCTGTCTGATTACGTGCCATAGAACATTGGAACTAATACAATGCATCAGTCTCTGTGTTGACAATAAAAATGTGACTTAAGATGCTGAATTACTTTTGTCAAAACCAGGTCCCCAGTCAATACTAACGTGCAGCCAGCACTTTGCCCTGTGCCTGGGTGAGCTCCTGGGCGAAGCGGCGACTGTACAACGGCTGAATAACGCTGCGCCCGCGGAACACGTTCCGTGCGTTTATTGTGACCGGCTAGTTTTTAAGCCAATGACGCTCACTCCCACGCCGCACAAAGGGGAGGGCAGGGCTGTTATTTAAAACAAATTAACTTTCCTAGAGAGCCAAAGGGGGTCCCGAGGACTTGAGACGGGGCCAGTCTGCCTGGCGCCGTTACCCGGGGCCCCAGGGAGAGGCGGGGCCGAGGCTGCTGGCCCGGGGGCCTGTGCGCAACTCTACTTTCCCCTCCGCCCCGACCTGCTCCTGCCACCCGCGCGCCCCGCTCTCCCAGGCCGGCCAGGGGCGCTTAGCGCAGCCACTGCGGCGTCAGGGCGACGCGCGGATCCGAGCGCACGCCGCTGACCTGCCAGGACCGAGCTCGAGCTCCCCGCGGCAAACTCTCGGAACCAACCCCCGCTCGGTGCCGCTGCAACTCGTCCGACCGGCGCGCCGGGCCGCGGGAGGAACGTTCCGGCTTCAGGAAGGGCCGGCCTGGAATGGGGCAGGGAGTGGTGCCCGGCTCCCGGGGGGCGCTACACGTGGGTAACACAGGGAACACCTCTCCCTCCAGCCGCGCCCCGGCCGGGCTGACCCTGCGTCCCGCCCGTTACTGTGCGAGGCGGCTGCCGTGTATCGGCCCCAGCCGGCCGCCCACAGGCGCTGCCCGAGCTACACGGGACCCCAGCACTCTCTGGGCATGTGGAGTGTCCGCGCTCCTATCTCCACGGGCCCTGCTCTGCCCGCTGCGGCTCGGGAGGAGACGGCTCTGAACCTGGCCCCAGACCCCACTGGGCTGGACTCTTGCAACTGGCTATGGCAGGGGTATTGTGCTAGGCTCTGCAGCCTCCACTGCTGGCCGCCGTCAGCCAGAGACAGGACTCGGGCTTAGATGGACCCAGGGCCTAAGCCGCGGGACCGGCAGATCACCCACAGAAACGCTGCCTGAGCGCCGGCCGCCCACAGGTATGCCACCGAAGGCTGCCTGATTGCCGTGCTTGGGGCGGCAAAAAACATAGAGCCACCCCTGGATGGACTTTAAGGCGAGTCTAGCCTCGCACTTCCTTGGTTCCTGCCAGGGGAAACTGTCCCTAGACAGAGCTGTCCTCTCTCGTGGCCTCTGAACCTTTGTTCTATTTCACCCATTAAGTTCAAATCTCTCTGCGAGGAGGTAAGAGGAGTTAAGTGGCAGTTGCATAAAGACAAGTTCCAGCTTTACATGAAACACAAATAGCACCATATCCCAAACCCCTGAAATAACTCAGCACCTGGTTGGTAAACTGCATGAAACTAAACCCAGACAAGTCAGAGCTGCTGTGAAGAGGGAAATGTTTCAAATTATTTGTCACCACTACCATGGCAGGCTTGATGAGTACAACACACAATATAGCTAGGAATTAAGAGACACTGAAAAGCTCTGCAACATGTGAAACTCTCCTATTAGGCACAATACATCATCATAAGCACAATCACTTTGGTGCTTTGGTAACTACATTAGCTTCCAGTGAAATACCAGTTTAAGGTTAATGTCCTGGTCTTGACCTTCAAAGCTGTCAAAAGGATTGGACAAGTGGTCTTCAATACTGCCATCAAGCTGTGCTCTGCAAGAACAAAAGTGAGACTAGTGGGAGCTGATACAGCAGTTGATAGTTAGCTGTGATACTCCCTTAAAAGCTAAGATTGGGACAAACCTTGCCACTGTCAGAATAAAATACAAGACATCTCTCTGCCATAACTTACAATACTAAGAAATATTTAATAAAAAAAATCCATGTGCTGGGCAAGGAGGTATTTATATCTAGAATATTCTCTTGATTAGAGTTTGTAAGGCACTCCAATATTGACTGTGGGGGTTAGCATCTCTACCGAAGACAGACTGATCTAGTTCAGAGCCAGAAGTAGCTTTACCCTAGGTCAAATAATGAATCACACAACTGTTAGTCCCCTACTCTAATTACTTGACAAAGATCCCAGTCCTCCAAAGACTGTTTATATAGTGTGAATACCCCCAAAATCAGTGGGACTACTCACAGGGTTTAGAGTTCTGCAGGTTCATAAATCTGTAGGATTGGGGCAAAATTCCCGTCCACGTAGATATAAATTAATCTTGTTTCCCATATAATAATACTGTTTCTCCTGGTCATTTGCTATTATTCACATAGTGCCAGATTGTGGAGGTATCATGCCAATTGTTCATAAATAAATTTGTTTCACGGGGAATGTGTTGTCAAGGAAGTATGATTTTCCACCAGATTAAAGCACTACTTCTAAAAACACCTGTGTAAATCATCTTTATTTTAGTCATTAACTGAAGTATCTGAGAGGTAGGATTTATACATTAAAATGCAGTATTACGTGTAAGCAGGGCCGGCGCAACCCATTAGGCGACCTAGGCGGTTGCCTAGGGTGCTAACATTTGGGGAGCGGCGGCCGGATCTTTGGCCGCCCCGGTCGTCGGCAGTATTTCGGGGGCGGGACCTTCTGCCACCTCTGTTGGGAGTGGTATTTCGGGTGTGGGACCTTCCGCCGCCTAGGGCAACAAAAAAGCTGGTGGCGCTCCTGCGTGTAAGTTATTGTACATCTATTTTTTCCATTTGTTGAATGTTCCCTAATGATACTATTATAGTCTAGAGCAATAGCCCCAAATAGGGTAGTAACACTCTTGTAAGACACAGAGTCTGTAATTCAGGGGTTCTCAAACTGGGGGTTGGGACCCCTCAGGGGTCGTGAGGTTATTACATGGGGGGTTGCGAGCTGTCAGCCTCCACCCCAAACCCCACTTTGCCTCCAGCATTTATAATGGTGTTAAATATATAAAAAAGTGTTTTTAATTTATGAGGGGGGGGGTCGCACTCAGAAGCTTGCTATGTGAAAGGGGTCAGCAGTACAAAAGTTTGAGAACCACTGCTGTAATTGTTTTACTTCTACACAGTAGTGTAATATATTTGATATGGCTCTATGACTAATCAACTAATTAATAGAAAATTTTTGAACAAACAAAAAGTTAATAATTTTTACAAATCAAATAGAATCTCAGACTTTGACCTCAGAATGCTTTCCTTGGGGCTAGGAACCTGTTTCATTGGGATAATTTACTTTGCTTAGGATTTTTTGTAATAAAACATCATTACAAAACCTATGGACAGTTATTTGACTCATACATGAAATCTCCCAACATTTATTACATGGAACACATTATTATGAGTGGGTGTGGTAATTGCTATGAGGAAGAGAAACAGCATTTTTCTAAGGATTTAGTAGTTTCTATTTTTTAAGTGTCTAAAATAGTCTCTCATGCAAACTCATTGCATACTCTATATGGAAACCCTTAAAAATAATTTATTTAAGGATTCAAACTTCTGAAAAGTACTGGCTTCTATATATCTGACAGTTCTTGGTATCAAATAGACTTTAAACCCTTTCCAGATTTGTGTTCAGGTCACAGGGGCATTTTCTAATAAACTAACCAATATTTCAAGACAGCATGGTCAAGTGGACTACACATGGTTTTAAGCCATTGTAATCCATGGCTGACTGACAGACTTCAAGATGGTCATATCACTTCTGCTTGTCTTGGTTTCCCTATCTATAAAATGGGGATATTTCCCCACTTCACAGCGTGAGAGATGTGGACTGAATGCTGTTTGTATAGTACTCCTAAAATACAAGGTGGTGAGTAAGAATTGAGATTACTCTTCATAAAATGGCTGAATCTTAGTAAATTTTAACTTAACAGAAGTGTTCCATTGTTCAAAGAGAAGAATTCTCAACCTATTAGAATAGAATTTTATTCATCTTTTAACACAGTAGGAGATCAATAAAGAGTCCTACACCTGGAATCTTCCAGCATTTAAAATCTTGGGAGTGCTTTCACCCAGTGTTTGTGCAGTCCAGTGTTAATGCAAATCCAGAATAGCAATATAGTCTTGTCTTGCACAAAACAGTCATCACAAGGATTTCCTGGAACGCAACTGTGACACTACACCCCATATTCTTCATAGTGATATTATGTGATTATGGCATAATTATGATGTATTTTATGCAAGATAGGTTATGTGAGATATCATTGAAAAGGTTATGATTTACTGAATATGATTATCCTATTTGTATGCATGTATCATTTTTGTATCTGAAGTTAGGAATATTGACTATGCATCTATATTACAAATGTGTTTACACATGGGGAATGCCCACTAGACAAAAGGCTCTCAGTCTAGATGGCTGGCTAGGAAGGACCCATTCAGGTTAATGAGCCATTAGGAGAAAACAATAGGCCTTAGAAGGTGAGCCTTCCATGCTACAGAAAGCCTCCAAGTTATGGCTGCTGTGACACTAGAGGGACATGTGACCAGAACTCCAGCATGCGAGATCAGTATTTTTCCAATGGCTGGCTTGGGAACCAAGCTTTGAAACAAAGGGTATATCTACACTGCAAAGTTGTCAACAAAACTTTTGTCTTTCATGGGTACTTAAAAAAGCCCCTCTCCCCCCCATGAAAGACAAAAGGTCTGCCAATGCAAGTGGCAGTGTGAACACAGCTTTGTGGGCAGGAGCACTCTCCTGCGGACAAAGCTAATGCCACTCACGGGGCTGGAAGTATTTTGTCAGCAGAAGTACCGACAAAGAGCCTTTACACACGCTGACTTTTAGCAACAAGGCTGTATCAACACAGCCTTGTCGCTAAAACCTGCATGGTGTAGACAAGCCCAAAGGGTTCCTGCCACATACAAAAGCTATTGAAGGCAGGGGAGTGACATCATCGTGGTTCTTCTCTGACTCCCCACGCAAAGACTCCTGGCAACACCTGAGGAACAAAGACTCAACTGGGGGAAATGCTGGACCCAAGCTAAAGAGTCACCTGGTGACTCCAAACTGTAAGCAAGTGCAGCTTACCCCTTACGAATCTCCAGCCTGCTTGTATCATTACTTAGGGTGAAGATTTGCTATTCAGATCCGATCTGTGTAGTATATTAAGCTTAGTTTGCATGTTTTGTTTATTTGCTAAGTAATCTGCTTTGATCTGTTTGCTATCCCTTACAAACACTTAAAATCTCGCTTGTAGTTAATAAACTTGTTTTTGCTTTGCCTAAGACCAGTGTGTGGGAGTCATAACTCGGGGTAAAAAGCTGTTGTATATTCCTCTCCACATTGAGGGAGGGGGCAAATTTAAAGCGCTTATGCTGTACAGTTCTCTGGGCAGCGCAAGTTGGTATAATTTTGGGTTTACAATCCAGAGGGGGGTGCATGCCTGAGTAGTTAGGAACTTCCTTAGCTAGAGCCTTCCCATGCAGGGCTGGTCACAGTGTCTGGATGTAACTGCAGCTGGGTGTATCCCAACCTATATGTGGGCTGGGTAGCTTGTCACAGCAGTACAGTGTAAAGGGAGCCCAGGCTGGTGGGTCAGGGGGACTCAGTGGAGTCCCAGTTCTGATGGCACCCCGGGGGAAACCCGTCACAAGGACATTTCCTCCAGATCAAATGCCTTGTTCACCACTGTGCCTGATGTCATGCTAGTAATGTTTCTGTGGTCCGTTTGAAAAGATTTCCCTGACAAAGAACTGATGGAAGCTGTGTACTCAGTCTTGCATCTGGGTGGCCTATCTTATGCCTTTCCAAGAGAGGATGGGCTTCAGCACAGATGTCGCAGATACTGTAGAGCTTATGAGGAAGTTTTCAGGCAGTAAGGAATACAAATAAGACTTCAAGACTAAGATACAAGCCTTTGACTGAACACACAGTCTAGTTCCTTGTAAGGACTACAATAAATAGGTGGGTGAAAATATCAAATACAGTCCCATTTAACTTGAGTAAGAGTTTAAGTTGTACTAGGTCATTGCCTGCCAGAGCAGTGGGTGCATAGAATTGAGAGTTTTATATATAAACAGGCACAAAGCCCAGTGAATGAAGTATATTCCCTCTGAGAAACCAATTTAAAATGGCTTGTGATGCTTCTGAAAACATGAGGTATAGATCAGTCAGAGTTAGCAGCCCCACTGAAGAGTAGGTGCATCAGCTAACACATATCTTTTATGTTTTAATGGGTATCCAGATAATGGAAAAATATGTATTCAACTTTGACAGCTTTATTGATGTGAAAGAAACTGTAGTGAAATGCTACATGTTACGCTCAATCTACTAAAGTGAGTGGCTGAATGTAGAGTATTTTTTTCAGTTGCGAGTTAAAAAGAAAAATCACTCCATTTTACTACAGTTCTTGGGTAATGTTTCTGTTTCTGGAAGTGAAGCCTTCCAAAAGAACATATTACTAGATAAACAGCCAACCATGTGCACTCACATTTTCAGAAATCTCACCTTCTTAAAAAGCAAGCACTAATTCATATGGTCATTGACTGCAACAGGCAGCTAGAATTTAGATATCAAAAAAAGATGATTTTCAAAATACTTGTTTAGTAGGAACATATAAAGGTTAATAGAATGAGTGCTTCTCTTTAGCTCTTATTTCAGCTTCACTTAATGAACTCCAAGAAACTGATATGCAACTTGGTTTAATTATACAGCTTCAAAAACAAGTGACAACATTAGATATGTCAGTAGTCTTTGTATGTACATAGTATTGGTCTTAATCATGTTGACTAGATATCCAATTGAAATTCAGCTGCTTTACTTGCTGCATGCTACTAATTATGTCAGATAAAATTTGGCCCCAAATGTAGGTTTTATAAAACCACACACCAATAGAAATGTTTTCACTATTTTATTTTAAAATTCCAATGGAAACAGATTAAAAGAAACCCACATTATTTCCTTGTACTATTTGCAACCCAAATATTTTAGCACTGATCCAGCACATGAGAATAAAAATAAAATTAAAAAAAAAAAATAAAATAAAAAAATAATCCAAACAGTGTAAAAAGAAAAAAAAAAAAAAAAAAAGTAAAATCAGATTTGTTGTAAAATGGTTTTATTGAAGGTATTCAGTAACATAGGCTAAAAATATGTTTTTAGAAGCACAAACTTGCTTACCCTTTAAGAGCAGTTAATGTGAAAAATGATTTACTTAAAAAACAAAACAAAACAAAAAATATATATATACCGCAGACAATTTAAGTATCACATCAAAAATGTAAGGGTGCAACTTACAGAAAAGATTGTTTTATTAGGTAAAGTGTTCTGGAATTTCCATGAAGAGTCACTTCCTCTTCCTTTTAAGAGAATATTTAAAAACAAAACAAAAAATTAGCAGCTAGCATGGGAATTTAAGCCTAAAAAAGGAAGATTCAGAACTTTATTAAAACCACTGAACTTCACTTTGGTTTTAGTTTATTTAGGCCCCTACCGAACTATTTTAATTACAATGGTCAAAACATTTTGGCTGTGTAAAAAAAAAAAAATGGCCAAAGTTAATTGCATCAGACAATGGATTGACTTAGTTCTGCTAAATAAACCATATTTAGCAGAAGACAACTGCTCACAGGAACATCCAGATTCTCCACATAGTCACACAGTTACAAATCAAATGTAAGCCATAAAAAGATTAACTGGTTATTCTAAATACATGCCTGTACAATAAAAAAATCTAAAATACAAATGTAGATTGCTTTTAAAAAAGCAAATATATTCACATTTAATTTCACGTTTTCATTAGTTACACACTACATTGGTCTCATTAATACACTTACTTATGCAACTGAACTCATTCCTAAACAAATGATTAATCATGACCCTACGAATGGAGTGGTTACAGTGGGATATACTGCACACTGCAGAAGTGAATTTTTTAAGGCCCCAGAGCTTACTGTTTATGTAAGCAACACAGATCCAAATGTGTTGCAATTAGGAGCCAGAAGAGATGCAGCATTTTCTGGAAACTGCCTTTCAAAATTAGGGCATACCATATGGAGTAGAGAACAAAGCTGGGGAATGAGTCAATATGCAGACAAGGGCAATCATATTTAAAGTCCTCAACCACTGTTGAGGAAGAGAGAGAAGTCTGCAACTTAATACTAAATAAGTCAAACTTTTAGATAACAAACCTTGGACCTGAATTGTTCCCAGGAAAAAATGCCAGGCTTCAAATAGAACAGATTCCTTGTCTGGTTTGTTAGAGGCTGTACTCGATAGTAAACAAGGTATCAAAATTTGTTACATTGAGGTAACTAAAACTGAGGCTGTTGGTGGGGTGGGTTTTTGTTTGTTTTTTAACCAATAAGACAAAAGGGGTTTTGCTTCTCAGCTGCAACCAAAGCCATTTTATATCCCATTGTTACAAAACTGGACATAACCTATTTAGTGATTCTAATTTGTTTCCTTCTTTTCTCCTCTATGATCTCCGATTGTCATAATCACTGACCATCCTTTTTACGTGCGACAGTTTACTCTTCAGTTTCTTGCACTGTGCTTTTTTGTTCTTATAGTCTGCTGACTAAAAACAAAAACACAAACCAAATGTGGCATTAGACCAACCAGAATTCTCTACAAGTGTCTAAAAGCAATTTTTTCATATGAAAAGTGCTCTAGGGCTGCACATTAATATAAAAATCCATTTTAAATAAAATTATAAATCTCAGAGTTATAAAAGTCAGTAAATATCAGTTTGAGTCCTATCTGAAAAAGGTACCCAGGAATCTAAGCAGCTCATCTGTTTACACACAATTCTGGCAGTTTGTATAATGATAAACACTTGGACTCTTAAGTTACTTTTGTACTGTAAAAAAGTACTCCAGTTGCTTTACCAGCTTAACTAGTCTGCTGTAAGAAGAATCCATTCTTATAGGAACTTCCAAGGTTTGGGGGGAGAGGAGGAGGAAAGAAACCACACACACAAATATGTGTATTGGTGACCACCAAGTAGAGAATCATATGTAAATAAGCCCAGACACAGTCTGATCAAGAGAGAGGAGTTGCAACCAGCCGTCCTATGCAAGGTCCAAAGCAGCTTCCCCAAGTACCAGTAGCAAAAATATTGCAAATACCTAGGAAGTACATAGTCTCTTTTTGGGATTGGGGGCGGGGAGGTGGCGCTAACAATTTTTAAAATCTTGAGGTTGGCAGTACTGGAGTTGAAACTACTTGCCTTGTGTTCTTTCTTTGAGCATTCAGTGTTCGTTTTTAAAGCTTTGTTCTGCAGTCATGAGAGTTAGAAACTATTTTACTAAAAAGCTGACAATCTCATGTAATAAACTAGTTCTATCAACTGGGGCATTAAGACTGACACTAAATATCATGAGACTTGCTATAGAGTTGTGAGAGTTGGCAACATTTCATCTATTGTTTCAAAAGTGACAATCAGAAGATACTGTTCTCTCATGTATGCAGAAGTTTCAGATTTTGATTAGGTAAGAGTTGAACTGTTACTTAACTTCTACAAAGATAAAACCAGCAAAGATAGGAAAGACCTGTTTATCCATTCAGTATCTCCCTGCCAATACAATCTTAGTCCCTTACCAAAGTTTGCCTACAAACGCATAGAATTTGACAGACTAAATCAGGAGAAGCCCAATACTTGAAAATCAGGAATGTTGCATATTAGGATTGAGGGACAAGGGAATCTTGCCCCACACTTAACCTTTGCCAGTGCTTTATTAGTCCTGCTATTTAATGGGCATTCTGTCTGCCTAGAAAATGCTTTAAGCATATTGAAGTCTTTACTCAGTTGCCATTAATTCAGTACTGTGATAGCTGGAGTCATCTCACCACAAACACCCATTATATTATGGTCATACTGAGAAGCATCTCAACAGGTTTTGAGGTAGTTTAGGCCAATTTCAGTCCTGGTATAAGCAGTCACAACTAGACTGACTGACTAACTACACTGGAGATGTGCCAAGACAGAGTTAGACTTCTTAAATTTACTGCTCAAGCCCAAGTTAGAGATCTGCTAAAAGAAAAGTACTTGGCACCTGCTTCCAGTGGTTGTCACTCTGCATGTGAGTTGGACAGGGAGAAAAGGAGGAAGAATTAAAAAAAAAAAAAAAAAAAACACAAAAAAGTTAAGTCCTTAGAAATAACAAACAAGAATAAGAGAACCTTATGATACTTACTGCTTTTATATCCTTCATCCTATTGTACTGATCAGCAGCAACCTATAATTAGGGAGAAAATTAAATTAAGTAGGACAGTTCATGTCAGTGCTATGAACAACACAGGTTTAACATCCTATTACACGGTTTTGAGTTGTTAACCATACATTTGGGGGAAAAAAAATCTAAAGTTACAAAGAAAGGCAGTTGAACTACAGAGGATGTAAAAATAGTCTTTGGATGTCAGCCTGGTAGACAGTCTGAGGGATTTAGAGCTAGAAATCTGTTTGTGTTGGCATGTACCATATATCCTATCCTCTCTTAGAGGAGAAAGGCCCATTTAATAAAAATCTAAAGGAGGTTGGGAATCATATTCAAGGCTGGACAAAAATGCTGATATTGACCGAAGAGATCATCAGTATTTCTTCCAGTACATGAATAGTTTTTAATCCCAGGCCAAGATCTAGAATTCTGGAGCAGAGTCTAAGATATATGATAATCATACTATCAAAATATCAGGAATTTTTTTCACCCTATTTGTAAGAGTTTTCCATTTACAAAGATCGTTAGTATCCCATCAAAATTTTAATAAAACCTCAATTCTGAAAAGCTCCTTTTTCAAATTCAAATCCATTAAGTTTTGCAAATCAGTTCACTAACTTTAAGTTTACTTGCTACATAGTAATTTGTATGACAAAGCTAGCATTCACTGGTACATGGCACATATTTTTGCATACATTAATTAAGCACCCTACCCTTCACCCCCTCCCCCAAGATATCCTGCATAAACATTCAAGTTATCCATGGAAATACCTTATATTCCTCACTGTCTTCACTGTAGTCATCCAACTCTTTATCCAGTCGAGAGAGTGTTTTACTGACTTCATCAAGTTCAGCTTGCAAACTCTTGTATTCTTGTAATCCAGAGTCAAAGTCTCGCTTATATGCTTGCCTTTGTTGATCTGTTGTTACTGGTGGGTACTCTCTAGGGGAAGATTTGGCGAGCGGGGAAGGAGGGGGGAAGAAGGGGGGGGGGGAAATCACTTGTTACGTATGGTACGGGCTATCTTCAGAAAGCGTTTGTTTATCCATTTGATGGAGGGTGAGAGTGCACGTTAAGTTTTGGATGAAAGTTACTGCTCCTGACAGAGAACTAGTGGCACTGGTAGGGCCACATAGCAAGCTACTTAGTCCTTGTTACGTCTTTCTCCTTTAAGTTAAAAGAGCCCTTTAGTACTTGCTATTTTCTCCCTGTTAAGGTATTCTGGAATCACGTCACCTCTCAATCTCCTTTTTGATAAACTAAACAGACTGATCACTTCAAATTTCTTACTATAAGACCTTTTCTCCAGCCCTCAAAGTATTTTTGTGGCTCTCTTCTGTACCTTCTCCAATGTTTCAATATCCTTCTTAAAATGTGGACCCCAGAACTGTATAGAATAATCAAGTGTCAGTCTCATCAATGCCATATACACCTCTACCCTGATATAATGCTGTCCTCGGGAGCCAAAAAAAAATCTTACCACGTTATAGGTGAAACCGCATTATATCGAACTTGCTTTGATTCGCCAGAGCACGCAACCCCACCCCCCTGGAGCGCTGCTTTACCGTGTTGTATCCGAATTCATGTTATATCGGGTCGTGTTATATCGGGGTAGAGGTGTATAGAAGTAAAATAACCTCCCTACTCCTATTAAATATTTCCTGTGCATTGTTTTAGCTTTTTACCAGAGCACCACACTGGGAGCTCATGTCGAGTTACTTGTTCACTGCGATTCCTAAATCCAGCATGAAGTCCTAGCTGTCCATAACAAATATTTCAGTTTCTTCATCACCCAAAGCATGTCAGTTTTTGTCTATATGCAGGGCAGAATAAACTTTTTTTTTGGGGGGGGGGGGAGATTTTACTGTGAGAGAACATTAAAGACTATGGAAGCTGGTTTAGCATAGATTTGCTGCATGTGCTCGGGAGGAAGTCAGTGCATTTCAATATTGAAGTGACAGGAGTGTTGCGGAGGAGGGGAAGAGTTTTATTACCCGCTTTGTGGGAGAGCTTGCAGCATGTATTCATTCAACTTGACTTGCTCTGATGAGCAGCGTTAGGAACTCAATACAATAAATTTTGAAGCATCTGTTATATTGGTTAACTGCTTCAGTCTCAATATTAAAATATAAATGGGACACTTCAAATATACTTGGTGCATTCTGCTGAATACAGATGTCCCAAGACACCCAAAGTCTTGTTCAATGACCATATATGAAATCATTCTAGGTAGTAGCATCAGTGGAAGAGGCTACTTCAGACAAGTAACAGCAGATAATGCTACTGCTGTAAATATTCCTTTCAAAGGCAAAATTTCCAAGTATAAAAGGCAACTCTTTTCCCACCACCTTTCTAGGCCCTCCTTCCTATTCCAATAGTCCTTACGCTGCCACTATCCACAGTACGGAAGTGGCACTGCAGCTATATTAATAACAAGCTTCTAACCACTACCACATTCAGCAGAGGCAGCACACTTATTAACTAGGGTTAGCCCATTTAAAGTATCACAAACAATGGAGTTAGTATTATTTCAATGCCTGATGAAGTTATTGTCAGTACCTGTCCCAGTCCTCCTCCAGCTCATCACAAGACTCCCCTCCAGTGGTGTAATCTGCATCATAGTTATCAGAGTTGGTTCTCTTCTGTCTTCCGGCTCTTCTCTTTTGTGGTGGTTCCTTAGTCGATCCATCATAACTACTGTTACCAGTATAATTTGACTGTGTGAGGTCCTTCATTAACGGAACAATAACTTCAGACTCCCTACCAAAAGCAGTAAAGATCTCATCAGTTGCCATTTTCAGGCTGAATTATCAACATTATACACGCGGGGCAAGTATTAACAGGATCAATTAAAGACAAAATAATCTGGATTTTTATTCTATAAAAAATTCAACATGTATTTGGAAAACAAAAGTCACTCATTTTAATTCACTAACTTTGTCTAACAAATTGCTTATAATATAAAATATGAATGTATTTGTTCCAAACTCAAATGGAGCAAGTTTTTCAGATTTTTAATCACTCCACCTCTGTGATTTAATGTTCCCATTTTCACCTAAAACTGGTGAGTTGAGAAACATACACTGGGCTGAAAGTGTAATCAACTAACCTTTTAAAGAATAATAAGAGATCCCTATACAAAGAAAGCTGCTTATGAATTTTTAAAAGTGTGTCTGTTACAGAATGGCACTCAGTTTAAAATAGAAATAATAGTTGTTAGAATGGCAGTAGCCCAGAGGTCTGTCAAAGGTATGTCTGTCAAAGGCTGTCCTTCAAATGGATGGAATCCATTCGTTACCTAACCATGGAGTATGAAATTTCTTAGATGATTAGCATTTTTGCTGTACAAATGCCCCTAAGATTTTAGAAACTCAACTACATTTTGCTTATAGCAAGAACTGAGACCCCACACCGACTGTCCTGGACACAATCCTGAGTATCACATTTTAGGATGGACACTGTAGAATAAAAGATGAAGAAGTGGGCAACAGAAATAGAGTGTTATGGTGAGCAAAAGTGAGGAAAATCTGGCATATGCACCAACAATTAATTTCACAGTATGGTGATAGTACCTGCAAATAATCATGTTTTGTATAAAGCATCAGGAATAAATTTCTTATTTACATGATCTATCGTTTACATATAGGCTCTCTCCCTGGATTTTCTAGAGCACAGGGCTGAAGATTGAGCTCCTCCCTGCTTGTTGATGTAAAACATCGAAGCGGTGTTGTCTGTTAAGACCTGCACCACCTTGCCTTAGATCTGGGGAAGGACCATCTGGCAAGCCAAGTGTACCGCCCTGAGTTCCCTGACATTTATTTGCAGGGAGAGTTCTTCCTGGGACCAGAGGCCCTGAGTCCTGAGACTGAGGTGGGCTCCCCACCCCAAGTCTGATGCATCCAAAACCAAGGTTACCGACGGATACATGGCAGCAAAAAGGTATGGAACCCAGGTCTCTCCACCAAGCCAGTGAAGCTAGGATGGGCAGCAAAATCATGAGTACCAAGTCCAAGTGGTGCCTGCCCAGGGAGTAGACTGACACCAGCCACATCTGTAGAGATCTGAGGCGTAGCTGCGTGTACTGCACCAAATAGGTACATGCCACCATGTGACCCAACAATTTGAGGCAAACCCAGGCGGTTGTAAGAGGGTAGATTGCAAGCTGGGAGATCCAGTCCCACAGAGTTCGGAATATGGTCTCCAGTAAATAGGCCTGAGCTGGAGTCAAGTACCGCCCTGATGAACTCTCTTCTCGAAAACTGGGACCAAAGTTGACTTTTGCTCATTTATTACGAGGCCCAGCGCCTGAAAGGTGGCCCATATTATGCCAGTGCTTTGCTGGACTTGAGCCTGTGAGTGGCCTTTGATCAGTCAGTCATCAAGGTATGGGCAGACTTGTACACCTCAATGTCTGAGGAAGGCCGCAACCACTACTATACACTTAGCGAAAACCCGCGGGGCTGCCGACAGACTGAACGGAAGCACGGTGAATTAGTAGTGGCACTGACCCACCACAAACCTGAGCAATCTCCTGTGTCGACAGAAGATGGAGATGTGGAAATAAGAGTCCTTCAAATGGAAGTTGGCATACCAGTCTTCTGGATCCAGGGAGGGAGTGATGGAGGCCAGGGAGACCATGTGGAATCTCAGTTTCTTGTGATATTTGTTGAGGCGACACAGGTCCAGGGTGGGCCATTAGAGCCTCTTTGGTCTTCGGGATTAGGAAATAATTGGGAGTAAAACCCCTTCCCTCTCATGTCTCGAGGAACCTCCTCTACAGCCCCGACACGTAGGAGGGCTTGCACCTCCTAGATGAGAATCTGCTTGTGAGAAGGGTCCCTGAAGAGGGATGGGGGAGGGAGGTAGCAAGGATGGGGGGGGGGGAAATAAAGGGTTACTGGAGGGTGTAACCAACTGTTATAGTGCTGAGCACCCAATGGTCCAATGTTATGAAGACCATGCCAGGTGGAAGGGCGACAGGCGGTCTAAAAAACAAATAAGGGGGATGAATCTGCAGTTGAGATGGGTACGCCATCCTTGGACATACCTTCAAAAGGCCTGCCTGACCTCACTGGGGTATCTATGCAAGTTTGACTAGAAAGCTGAGGCAGAAGGTAGGGGCTGACAACATTTATAGCCCTTTCCCTTTCTTTTGAAGAGCTCCTGTCTGGGAGGCACCAGAAATCTGGGAGGCTGCTGGGGCTAAAATGCTTCCTGGAGGCATGTAAAGGCCCAGGGAGCAAAGCATGGCCCTCGAGTCTTAGAGGCTGTGAAACTTGAAGTCTGTTTGTTCCAAGAACAGGAAGGTACCCTTGAAGGGGAGGTCCTGAACGGACTGCAGCACTTTGTGAGAGGTGCCTGATGACTGGAGCCATGAACAGTGCCTCATGGTGACTGCTGATGCCATCATTCTGGCTGCTGAGTAAGCCACATCCAGAGCTGCCAGGAGGGAGGTCCTGGCCCCACATCTTGCCTTACTCCAGGCTGGCCATGAACTCCTGCCTTGACTCCTGCAACAGAGAGTCCTTAAATTTGACCACTGAGTTGCACAGGTTCAAATCGTACTGACCCAACAGAGCCTGCTGGTTAGAGACATGTAACTTGAGGCTGCCTGTCGAATAAGTGGTGTATCCAAACAGGTCCAGTCTCTTAGCCTCCTTATTTTCGGGAGTAGCACTCGACTGCCCCTGTCTGTCCCACTCGTTTGCAGCCAACGCCACCAGGGAGAAAAGTGGGGAGATGCGAGTACAGGTACTCAAACCCACTGGCTGGTACATAGTACTACTTCTCTGCCCTTTTTGAGATGGGGCACACACGAAGGGGTCTGCCAGAGCACCCTGACAGGCCCCAACACTACCTCATTAACTGGCAGGGCCACTCTGGATGGAGCCGCTGCAGCCAGGATATCAATTAAGTTTTGCACAGACTCCTTCAGCTCCTCAGCTTCCAGACCCAAGTCTGCGGTGACCCATTTTAGGAGCTCTTGATGGGCTCTGAAGTCATCCGGAGGCAGCAGGTTACTGGGTCCTGCGACCGCCTCATCCGGGGATGACAAGGAAGAGGCCAGCCCCAGAGGATGGGATGCCTCTTCTTCCTCCACCTGCACCACTTCCATTGGGGCCACTTCTGGGACCTCGGTACCAGGGTCAGTACCAGAATCAGGGTCTAGTGCCGGGTGGGATGAAATAGTACCATCACCTAGAACTAGCAATATATTCTCTGTGCCTGGACTTCAAGGCATTCCTCTGAAGGAAACTGTATCCAGCATACCTATGTCAGACAAAGGAAAGATCACCCCAGTCCAAAGCTGTCAGAGAAGGGAAGTAAAGAGGGTAAAGAGGTATCTCAGAGTGATATAGTGCAGTATTTCTCAACCTTTTTGATATCAGGGACAGGCTTGCTGCCTTCCTAAATTGTGTCAGGGAGATCTCAGGGACTGGCGCTGACCCACACACCTGTCATTGAGAAACACCGATACAGTGGACTCCATTCAGACTTGCCATAAGACTTCATCCTATTAGAAATTTAATTTTAAAATTTCTACTGAATTTGAAGTGTTTTCCTTTCCCTATGCAGCTAAAGACTATCTAGAGCAGAGGTTCCCAAACTGTGGGGCACACCTCTCTAGGGCAGTGTGACAGCTCTGGGCCATCCCCCACGGGGGACAGGAAGGGAATGCCATCCAGCCCTACTCCGTCCCCAGCTCTGCTCTGACCCCACCCCCAGCTGCAGCCCCACCAGCCCCACTCCCAGCCTCAGCTCTGGCCCTGCCCCCAACTGTGGCCCCAGCCTCAGCCCCCATACCCCATCCATGTACCTCCCACCCCAGGAGCCCTGGCCCTCCGGGAGGGGGCATGGACAGGAGTAACAGGGGGTTGGTGCACAACCCTGAAAAGTTCGGGGACCGCTCATCTAGAGAATCATCTCTGGCACTTCCTGAAACAGGCAGAACTGGAACAGAAGAAGAGGTGTCTACTGGGAGGAGAGGTATAATTCCCCCAACTCCCCTCCTAATTGTTATGAGTGGCAAAGTTAAGATACTGCAAATTCGGCATTTAATTCCAGAATCAGGGTTCAGTTGCTCTGAATTAAATTAGTTTAAAAATTTTTATGTGTTTCATAAGTACAGGGCCTGATTCACACTTCAGTGTGTTCACTATTTAACAGTTTCTTGAAAGATCAATGCCTATATG